TGCTTAAAGTGATGAGAGGAGAGATGACCAGCCGGGTGACCTGGCCATGCATTTATCTTCCACTCTCCATCTGCTGATAGGATGGAGGAGCACGCACTGGATGTGTAATGGGACTGCCTGTCCCTGCCTGGGAAGGGACCGCATTAATTGGTGTGAAACTAAATACCGTCCAAAGAAACTTTTTTCTGAGAGCGCCCCAAGCAGGGCCCTGGGGCCAGGAGCTGATATGGAATAGAGAAAGGCAGACATGGGACTACTAAGGATTACTGCAGCAGGAAACTTGAGTTTAAACCATCTCCTTGCTTTGTGACGTGGACTTAGCAGATGCCTCTTTTTGTTAAATTAATTGCTCATCAGAAAAGGACAAATGTGGGCCTCCCAGGTGGCGCAGCGATTGAGTGCTGGGTTGCGAAGCTGCCCGCAGCCTCTGCAGCGCCGGTTCAATCCCCGACTGCTCCCCGGCCACCGGAGGAGGGTCCCACATGGTGCGCAGACCTCTCCTGCCGCCCGCTGCTCCCCTCAGCAGTGTACTTCGGTCCTTCTGCCTGCTCTGCTCCCCGCTCTGGCTCTGGTGAATTCTCTCACCCTCCCGCGCTTCTGACTGTACCCAGTGCTTCTATAAATAAATAAATAAATCTTAAAAAAAAAAAAAAAAAAGGACAGATGTGCATCACTGGATTCTTTTAAAACCTGAAACATGTTAGAGACGAATTAAATTTTAAACTGCTCAAGAAAGAATTGACTATTAAAATCAGTTTTTACCAGGATCTCTAGCCAGTGTCAAACTGTTCCTTTTGTTCTTTGAAAAAACAAAAGTTACGTATTGCTATTCAATAGGATAAAATAAAGGAGGAAATTTGGGTGACAGGAAAATAAAGACAAGCAAGTAAAACCAGGACTTTTAGAACATTTTTAGAACATAAAATATATTCCAGAGGTTGCTAGGGACAGAAGTAAAATTTTAGGTTTGTACTTCTGAGCAATCAAAGCAAAAAGGAAAACAAGATTCATTAAAAAAAAATTGGGGGAGGGCCTCCCCGGTGGCACAGCGGTTGAGCGCTGGGTTGCGAAGCTGCCCGCGGCCTCTGCGGCGCCGGTTCGATCCCTGGCCACCAGAGGAGGGTCCCACATGGCGCGCAGACCTCTCCTGCCGCCCAAACCTCTCCTGCCGCCCACTGCTCCCCTCAGCAGTGTACTTCGGTCCTTCTGCCTGCTCTGCTCCCCGCTCTGGCTCTGGTGAATTCTCTCACCCTCCTGCGCTTCTGACTGTACCCAGTGCATGTATAAACAAAAAACAAACAAACAAACAAATAAATAAATAAATAGCATGCCTCTATTAAAAAAAAAAAAAAATTGGGGGAGGGGACCTCCCTGGTGGCTCAAAGGGTTAAGTCTCAGCACTATGAAACTATTGGCAGCCACTGCAGCACCAATGCCATCCCCGGCCAGGGAGCTACCCACATGGTGCGGCAGACCTCTCCTGTCCTGCCCGCTGCTCCCCTCAGCAGTGTATTTCAGTCAGTCTGCCTGTTCTGCTCCCTGATCTGTCTCTGGTGGACCTTCTCACCCCCCACACCTCTGGCCTGCACCCCAGCTCTTGTATGCATAAATAAATAAATCTTTAAAAAAATTGGGGGGAGGGCCTCCCCGGTGGCACAGCGATTGAGCGCTGGCTTGTGAGGCTGCCCGCAGCCTCTGCAGCGCCGGTTCAATCCCTGGCCGCTGGGACGAGGGTCCCACATGGCCTGCAGACCTCTCCTGCTGCCCGCTGCTCCCCTCAGCAGTGTATTTCGTCAGTCTGCCTGTTCTGCTCTCCGCTCTGTCTCTGGTGAATCCTCTCACCCTCCCACGCTTCTGACTGTACCCAGTGCTTGTATAAATAAATAAATAAATCTATCTTAAAAAAAAAATTGGGGGCAAAACATAAATGAATAAACACAGAGATGACATCCCTATGACATCCTGGATCACACAGAACATTAGGATCCATAGATATTTCCTTAACGGCATCTGTATTAGTTTCCTAGTGTTTTGTGTAACAAAATACCACAGGCTGCGTGGCTTCAACAACAGAAATTTATTTCCTCACAGTCCTAGAGTCTGGAAGTCCGAGGCTGCTGTGTCAGCAGATTTGGTGTCTTCCAAGGCCTCCCTCCTTGTTGCCTTGCAGTGTCCTCAAGTGGTTTTTCCTCCGTGGCTATGCCCTGATCTCTCTTTGTCTAAATTTCCTTGTAAGAGGACACCAGTCAGGTTGGATTAGGGCCCATTTTAACTTATTCAGGTCTTTAAAGGCCTTTTCTTCCAAGACAGTCACATTCTGAGGTACTAGGGGTTAGGCCTCAACATGGGAGTATGGGGTGGGGGTCTGATTCAGTCCTTCACAGCACCCCCTGATGAAGAGCCAAAGCTCTGTAGGTTGATATAGTTCTATGAGGGACCAGAGTGAGTTGGTCCAGACATAGAAATTTCTGGAAATCATTGCTAATCCAAGGAAAAGGGGATTTAGAGATTCTGTGTGACCTGGTACCCATCCATCTGTCATGGCCTGGGAATATTTTCCCTTTTCTAAAAGTGCCTGGTAAGAATTGAACGTTAGGAGTGTCGCCTAATCTGTGTGATCTTTTTTATAGAGGCATGTTTTCTTTCTTTCTTTGTTTTTGTTTATACATGCACTGGGTACAGTCAGAAGCGCGGGAGGGTGAGAGAATTCACCAGAGCCAGAGCAGAGAGCAGAGCAGGCAGAAGGACCGAAGTACACTGCTGAGGGGAGCAGTGGGCGGAAGGAGAGGTTTGGGCGGCAGGAGAGGTCTGCGCGCCATGTGGGACCCTCCTCCGGTGGCCGGGGAGCAGCCGGGGATCGAACCGGCGCCGCAGAGGCTGTGGGCAGCTTCGCAACCCAGCGCTCAACCGCTGCGCCACCGGGGAGGCCCAATCTGTGTGATCTTGTCTGGCCTCGAGGAACCCCTGGTGCCCACTGCCCCACGCCACCTCAGCCCCTGAAGGCCTCTGTGGGCCACATACACTTTGGGTAAGGTCCACACTGGAAGGCGCCACATTTGTGTATGGAGAGTTATGTCTTGGGCAGGGGCAGGGGCTATATTTTTGTATTTGCTTATAGATGCGTAAAGAGATTAGCTGGAAGGCTATGCAAGAAATGAAAATCAGTGGTTGGTTGTGCAATGGGAGGGGAAACTAGTGGTCGGAAACAGAAAGGGAAAGTAATTTTAAGCTCTGGTGTTTTCTCTGTATTTTTACTTTTTGAACTTCAAGTATACAGAATTGTATGAATAATCACTGGTTCATAGCACATTCTCATCTTTGATCTGCACATATTACCTTTTGTTTTATTCATTTTTAATAACATGATGAATTCATCCAACCACACTACTCAACCCAAGAACCAGAACATTAGCAGTGCCTTTTTTTAAAAGATTTATTTATTTATACAAGAGCTGGGGGACAGGCCAGAGGTGCAGGAGCATGAGAAGATTCAGAGACAGAGCAGGGAGCGGAACAGACAGACGAACCAGCAACGGGCAAGACAGGAGAGGTCTGCCGCACCATGTGGATATCTCTCTGGCCTGCCGGGAATCGAATCCGTGCTGCAGAGGCTGCAGATAGCTTCACAGCGCTACGCTCAACCACCTGAGCCACCAGGAAGGTCCCATTAGCAGTGTCTTTATCTACCTGCGTGCTCTCCCACTCCTACCCACCCTCCCCTAAAGGTGACCACAACCCTGATTTTTTAAATATTAATCTTCTGCCCATCCACCTTTCTAAACTTGCATTATTTCAAAATAATTTGTCTGTGGGCTCTTCAGGGTATTCACATAGACACTGATCATCTGCCTTTGGGGAGGGTTGAAGAATTTGACAGCACTATTCACTCGAGCACTTAAAATCTCTTAACTGTTTCATTCATACTTTATGAAGGTAAATGCGACTGGAGGCTAACAAAACACAGACGCCGTAGCTCTCAGCCCCGGCTGAAAGATGTCAGACAGATAGCCTCCTTGAGGATGGAAGTGGATCAGGAAGACTTAAGAGGTTTGGGGTTTTTGAGAGGTTGAGCGATTTGATGTTAAGGTCATGGATTTTAGGTCAATGTGATCCCTAGTCAGCTGACTTCTGTTATCACCTACAGTTACTGGATAAAAGCCAATTAAATGTTGAAGAATATGGGCCAGAGGTAATGCGTGTAGCTAGTTGATCTGAGGTCCAGTTTCTGGCAGAGCCTAGGTAGGTAGGTGGGCCTTGAGGCTGATTTGGGGGCTTGACCAGAGACTCCCCTCATTGGGAGAGGAGAACCCGTGGCTCTTTGCTGCTTGGTGGCAGGAGGGAATGGGCAAAGCCAGTGGCTGACTCAGAAGTGGTTTCTCTTCTTCACCCATGTGCTGAGGTCTCTGAGTCTGTCAGATAGAAAATGCCAGCTGGGGCCGTGCTATTTTGGTCAGGCCTGGATGGGGAAGCAAAGTTCCTGGGCATGTGTTAGTATTGTGGTAGCCTTCATTAATCAGCAGTCACTATATTGGGTCCTTTCCTGCCTCTCTCCGGGAAGTCTTGCAACAACCTAATAAGTAGCGATTGCTGCCCCATCTTACAGCTGAGAAAACTGAGCTCAGAGAGGTCATCACACAAGGTCAGCCAGCGATGAACCAGGACGTGGATATTTGTCTGTTTGAATTCTGTGTCCTCCACTCCCCCCCGGGGGCCATGATGGGGCAGCTCACAGCTTGATATATCTTATAGTCAGGTTTTATTTGTCACACTCTGCAGACTGCCACCTGGTCTTGGAGGGAATATGAGTAACTTAGTACCAACTGCCCCAGGCTTGAGCCACTACACGCAGTCTTACCCACCGGACCCTGTAAGCCTTTGGGAGCTTTGGATACAATAGTGCACAGGATGTGATAATGACCATCCAATGTGAGGAAGGTCATCAGAGTGATGTTGTTTCTGAGATAACAGGTATGTTTGAACTCTTTCCCTCTGGCACGTAGCTTTCACCATCAACAGCATCCAAATGGATATCCTGCCGCAGAATGAGGTGCAAAATGGGGAGAACCTGACCCTGCAGTGCAATGTGGATGTCAGCACCACCTACCATGTCAAGTCTCAGCATCACATGCTGTTCTATAAGAATGATGTGCTTTTTTACAACATCTCCACCATGAAGAACGCAGAGAGTTTTTCTGTTCCCCAAGCCCGAGCCTATGACTCAGGGACCTACAAATGCACTGTGATTCTGAACAACAAGGAGAAGACCTCTGCAGAGAACTCGGTGTTCGTGAGAGGTGAGTCCCTGGAACTTAATGTAACTCAAGCCGATGACCTGTTAGCACCCGCAGGAGCAAGAACGGGAATTGAGTGCATAGTTCACAACGGATGTACCTGCATCATTCTTGTTGCTCACCTGCCTAGCATTTTCCTCTTCCATGTCGGCACTTTTCTCTCTTCCATGCCCTTGCACACACTAGTCCCTCTCCAGGGAGACCCCTTCTTCCTCTCATCTTCATCTCATCTTCTCATGAACAATTTCTCTTTCAAGACTCAACTCAGAGATCTCATACGCTTTCCCAAACAAGTGGATCGCCCCCAGGGTCCCAGGCCTTCCAGCTCTTTTGCTCTCTCTGTGTTCACTGGTCTATATGGCTCAGCTTTGACCCTGATTTCTGCAGTCCTTTGCCCGGGTTAATCTGAGCAAATCCCTTTACACTGACATTCTCACCAGTGAAGGGAAGATAACAACGACACCCAGATCGTTACTGAGAGGATGAAAAGAGATGGTGCCGGTGGAGTGCTTAGTGTGATTTCCAGCACACGATCACTTCCCAATCGGTGGCAGTTACTATTTCACCCCACACTGCAACGATATCTAACACATCTGTTTGCTCTTCTGGACTGTCAGATCATGAGGAAAGATTTTTTTTTTGTATCTCCAAGAAAGATTCTGGCTTAAAGGATGCCCTCCATAAATGATTGTGGAACAAAGTTAACAGCTATAAAGGGCAGGTAGCAATGGAGAGGGATGGAAAAGCAAGAGGGGAATCATTGCAGGAAATGGGTGTTCAGAGATAAAGGGTTGCATCCATCCATTCATTGGTTTAATTCCTCAAGCAGCATTACCTAAAGTTGCGAAGCAGGGGGAAACCAAGGGCTGGTGGTGAAATGCATCCAGGAGGTCCCAGCTCTGGAGGCAGTTGCAGCCTGGTAGGGAAGAGAGCATTTCAATAAATAATTGTGGCCCCATACTCATGTGATCTGAGTGCCTTAGGAGCACAAGAGAGGGAGGACACAGTGCTTCCTGGAGAAGTTAGGACAGCCTCCTAGAAGAAGGGACTTTAGGGCCAGAGACAGAAGAGGTGTCAGGTTTGCATGATGATGAGTGGGGCAAGGTCTGATTAATTGGAGGTAGCAAAAGAGGGAGAGGTAGAGGCTGAGAAAGGGGTTGGGATCCCAGCAGAGCACCCAGTTCTTGAGCCTCTTGGGGTCTTCATTTCCTCCTGTCTCTCAGACAGAGACAACCAGGTGACTCTGAATGCCCTTGAAGGTTTTTTGTTTTGAGGATGAAACAGGACAGCAAGTAAAGCATGTTCAGTACCAGGTACCGAATGAATGAATGAATGGCCCACCCATGCTCGGCTCAGGCCATCCTTAGGGGAGAGAGTAACCCTTTTGACACACGGGAGATGGCAGACCCAGCAGGCAAGTGCTGGGGTCATTTTCCATTCACTAGCCTAGACTCTCTGACCACTTTCTTGTCAGTCTTTGAGGCTCCCGGGGAAGCATGTGGCTGCATCCGGCTCCAGGCCAACTCCTCCTGGGGGTCCTGTGGACACTTGGGGGGCATGACTGGCTGGTCATCTCTTTGTATCACCAGAAGCAGCAGCCACAGGGATTCAGGCCCATCCTTCCCCATCTTTGCTGAGAGCAGGGGAGGAACAGAGGCCTGGACATTGATGTTAGTGACGAGGAAAGATGGGCAGATTGCAAATTTGTAAAATGAGTTTTGAAAAGAAATGTGCTGGCGGCCTTTGGAAGCTTAGGGTAATTTTTCTTAAAACTTGGACAATTAAATGGACAATTTAATGGATTCTGCCCCGAACTTCCTTGACAACAGCTGCCACCATGGTCATTTTTGCATTTTTATGGTCACTTCTGTGATCGGAAGTCATTAAAATTGTTAATTTTTACTTCCAGTAAGAAGAACTCCCATGTAGGAGGAAATAAACAGTTATAAGTGCTTTATACACTTTGCATTTAACCCCGGCAGTATCACTGGGAGAAAAACGTGGCTCCTGCCCGTTCCTGGCATGGCCACTGGGGCTCAGGAACTTGAGTGGCATGTGCCAGACTTGGGATTCATCAAAGGCAAAGCCAGAGTTAGAACCAACATTTAATTGATCCTAACATTGGTCTCTCTGCCTCTTGATTAATAGGATGGGTCTTCGTGGTCGATAAAGGGCACTTCATTCATTTATTAGACATTGACCAAGTCCTTCCTCTGAACCAGGCAGGGCACCTGACAGGTGACAACAGTGGTGTGAATGCAGCCAGGTCTCCTTCCCAAGAGGACACCTCCTTCTCTGAACTAACTGGGTTGAACAAGCTTCCTCAGAGCTGTCAGTGACGGGGTGAAGTGGCACGTCAAGGGAGAGGCAGGCTGAGCTGTCTGACTCTGGGCTGAAGCTTCTTGGCTCAACCACGGACCTGCGTATCTGCTCCCAGCCAGGTTCTCTCCAACCTGATCTCTTCACCTGATGCACTGGCCCCTCCAGCCCTTTCTCTGCTCTAAAAGGCCTTCCTGAAAAGCCACTCACATTCCTCACCACAAGCAATTCCCCACACACATGTACCCCAATATGTCTGAGCCCCCATTCCACCTCATCTCTATATGATACCCCTCCTCCAAGATCAGACCCCGGGACTTCTTTTCAGACACTGCTTGGTTATTTTCACCTTTGCTCAGTGAACTGGGGGAACATGCACTCCTCCTCTGTCCCCACTCTCCCACCCCAAACTCTGGCTTTGGAGTCAGACAGACTTGGGGTCAACTGTCAGCAGCCACAGGGCTTGTTGACTATGAGCTGCTGGATGGGTCTTGAATCTTTCTGGGATTGAGCTTCGTCTGTAAAATGAGCATAAAATCTCTCTGGCTTGCTGACGCAGGAGGGTTGTTAGGAGAATTACATGGAGTCATGGATATATAGTGACGAAGTTTGTGGCTGTCATTCAGTAAATGACAACAATGACAGTAATAGTAATAAATACTGGCAATTTGCTTTTATTTTAACGCTAGCTCACATGGGTATTATAAACATTGAAAGCACCAACCTCATCTTAAAGATAGTTTGTATGTCTCAAAACGCCTGAACCAAGGTTCTAGGTACAAAGGTCAATCATTGCCTGGCAGGCTGGGTGTTCTGAAACATAACAAAAGAATCTTCCAAGCACCATGACTCAGCTGAGGGAAACTCCTGCTGCTAGATCAAACCGATGCTAATAGACTTTCTCTTCCCTCCAAAGGAGTGCCAAGTCCTCAAGTGACCCTGGACAAGAAGGAGGCCATAGAAGGCGGGCTCGTGAAGGTCAATTGCTCTGTCCCTGAGGAAAGGCCTCCCATCCATTTCGCCATTGAAAAATTTAAGCTTGATGTCAAAGAAGCCAAGCAAAGAAGAGAAAAGACTTCTCGGAACCAAAATTTTGTGATGATGGAATTCGCAGTGGAAGAACAGGACCACATTATCTTTTTCCACTGTCAAGCTAGCATCTTTTCTGGGACCCACGTGGAGTCCTCGCAGACTGTCAGGAGTGAAATGGTCACTGTGAGGGGTCAGAGTCCTGCTTTTATTTTTATCATTCTTTTTGCTTGGCTGGTTTAGCAGGGGAGGAAGGGCCCAGAACGGGATGGGGGTGGAGCCTCTGGTTGGGCTGTGTTCTCAGGATTATTCTTAATGACTTCTACTTTTCAAACCTTTTCTTTGCAATACAGTTTATATATATATATATATATATATATTATATATATGTGTGTGTGTGTATATGTATATATGTGTGTATATATGTATATACACACATACATACACATTTGTGTATATATATGTACTTGTATATATTTGTATATATATGTACTTGTATATACACATATGTGTGCATATGTATATATGAAATATATATGCGTAAAATGTATACATATATAAATATGCATCAAAATATATTTACAAATTCCCTAAACAGAAGTTTCACAAAGAATACCTAACCTTAATGTATGATGCGCTCTGTTCTATTCTATTTTATTCAATTCGATTCGATTCAATTCAATTCGATTCTATACTTTCAAACACCGGCCAAGACTCCCTGGAGTGATACTGTGGGACCTGCAGTTTGGAAACCAAAGCTTTAAGCCATGCAGGTCAGACACCAAACGGTGGGGACTGGAGAGTACTGGGAGAGGGGGGGGACACAGGTCTTCAGTCTTTGCCTCCCACATTTGGTGAGGGGCGCCCCCTCTGTGCGTGTGCCCAAGACAAGCAGAGCTCCAGGGCAGGTAACAGCAGTTCCCTGTCACCTGTGGGGGAAGGACTTGTGAAGCTGGGAAGGGTCAGGGGATAATTCAGGTGGCCTCATTATCTCCTGGGATAATAGGAGCCCTAAAGTTTGTCATAGATGACCCTCTGCTTTCAGCAGCTTGCTTTACCCCTGCCCATTGGGTATGGATATATGTATACAAACTTACATACACAACATGTGATCCTACATACATATACACATAATACATAGTACACACTATATATACATAATTTACAATATGCATGACATAATAGGAATATTATGTATATCATTTATTTATCTGTAATAGGTAATGATCTATTTCTGATCATAATAAATGCATGGTATGTGTAAAATTTTCAGGACATGCTATAAAGTATAAGGTGATCATAGTACCACTTACCACAGAAAACTACAAGAGTAGTTAGACATTCATGCATGCACAGTGATTGTTTTCATTGCTTCTATCAAAAAAAAAGCACCTATCAAGCATACTCTTATTTCTCCTAACTTAACAACATTTTGTGGATTCTTGTCCATATGGAAAAATAAAGATATAGCTCTACACCATTTTAGTGGCAACTCAAAATCCTCTTAAAGAACTACCCTAAATTGTTTACCTAATTTTCTATGGCTGGACATTTAGTTGTTTTCCTGGGGTTTTTGTTTGTTTGTTCGTTTGTTTACTGTAAAAACAATCTTGCAATGGACAGACTAGTAGTTATGTGCACTTTTGCAAGTATTTTATTATTATTATTTATGGGATCTATTCCTAACAGTCATTTGCTGATTCAAATGCTTTCTGCATTTTCAATACAATGGATATTGCCAAAGTCTTCTTCAAAATAATTGAAGGTTTCCGTGGAAAATTATGCCAATATTTATTTTTCCACATACTTAAACAAACATGGGGCATTAGTAGCATTTTATTATTATTAATTTGTGTGCTTGAATATGCCTTTTTTAATTGAGCTAACACCGGTACACAAACATTTTATTATTTTTGTGAATCTAATTGAAGCACAGTGATATATTCCTGCAACTGTGATTTGCATTTCTTTAGAAAGATTATGGATGTTCTTTATGCTAATTGGTCTAGTACATTCCCTGCCCTCCTATAAACTGCATGTTTATATACACTTTGTCCATTTTTACTGTTTTTGACTGATTTGTTTGAGCCTTTTATAAAGTAAAATAATTAGTTCTTTGGCAGGTAATGCACCCATATTTCCCCAAGTATGTCACTTGCCCTTATTTTATGGTAAGTTTTCCCGGCAGAATTTTTTAAATCTTTAGTGAATCAAATTCACGCATCTTTTTTTCTTTATGATTTTCAGATTTGTGATTCACTCCTAAAGTTCTTCCACCTACTAAGGTTTTTATTTTTTTTTAAAGATTTGTTCTTATTTATTTATGCATGCAAGAACTGGGGTGTAGGCCAGAGGTGCAGGGGGTGAGAGGATTCACCAGAGACAGAGTGGGGAACAGGACAGGCAGGCTGACTGAAATACACTGCTGAGGGGAGCAGTGGGTGAGACAGAAGAGGTCTGCTGCGCCATGTGGGTCAGTTCTCTGGCTGGGGATCGAACTCATGCCACAGTGGCTGGGAAGCTTGACAGCACTGAGGCTCTAATTCCTGTGCCACCAGGAAGGCCCACCTCTAAGGTTTTTAAAGAAAAAAAAAATGCACTTGTTTTCTCTTACTATTTCCACAATTTACATCTCCCTCCCCCCTGACCTACATTAAAATCTCTGGTGCATCTCCAGAGTTCACTTGGGGGTAAGAAAAACCTTTCAGTTAGTTTTAAGCTGCCCCAGAGGGCACTTGTTCTCTGCCTTTCTTTTTTTTTTTCTATTTTTACTCAGGAAAGCAGGCTGTTTTTTTAAATGGTATTTTTTAAAATTTTGAATTTAAATGACTTTACAGTAAAAAACTAGTGAATATTAATATTAAAGTCGCTCCCACTGCTCCACTCAGCAGTGTACTTCGTCAGTCTGCCTGTTTTGTTCCCCGCTCTGGCTCTGGTGAATTCTCTCACCCTCCCGCACTTCTGACTGTACCCAGTGCTTATTTGAATAAATAAATAAATCTTTAAAAAAAAAAGCAACTAGTGAATATTAAAATATTACATCATTTTTGTTTTTTTTAACACCCCAATCTGTATTTTACTTCCTTGTAGTCTGTGTATATACTTTGCTATTTTTTTTCGTGGGGGTGAAGGTCTACCTCACCATTTCCCGAAGATTCCACACCCTCCTATCTGATTCTGATATTTTATTAAAACAGTGTATTTCAAACTGCTTGATTCATGAAATCAATTTAGTCAATCATGGCCAATATTTTTTTTTTTACATTTTTTTTAATAGAGGCATGTTTTATTTATTTATTTGTTTGTTTGTTTGTTTTGTTTATACATGCACTGGGTACAGTCAGAAGCGCGGGAGGGTGAGAGAATTCACCAGAGCCAGAGCGGGGAGCAGAGCAGGCAGAAGGACCGAAGTACACTGCTGAGGGGAGCAGCGGGCGGCAGGAGAGGTCTGCGCGCCATGTGGGACCCTCCTCTGGTGGCCGGGGAGCAGCCGGGGATCGAACCGGCGCCGCAGAGGCCGCGGGCAGCTTCGCAACCCAGCGCTCAACCGCTGCGCCACCGGGAGGCCCAATCATGGCCAATATTAAAAAAAAAATTGAATAGACTAGAAATCACTTTGTTGGGGCATGTGGTTATTTAAATATGCATCTCCATGAAGCCACACAGTTTACATCATTGTCACTTTTGAAAGTTGAAATATTTACACTGCAATACCATCGTTCCATGAAAGTCCCCTTGGTAGGCATGAGAAGCATCTGTTTCTAGCTGCTGGGGTTGTTTCTGGGGTCACTTGAAGAAGGTTCTAGATGAGATCTAGAGGCGGTGGTTTGGCCTTGAGAACTTCAAGTAGGAGAATTGCAGTAAAAGAGGCTGAAGAACGAACAAGAAGGGCATGAGCCTCAGATCAGCCTAAACAAAGGTTTTGAGAGGATAGTTTGAATTTTTTTAATCAAAAAGGATAAACAGTGGTTGACCACAAAAACAGCAGAGATGGGAGGAAGCCCTTCTCCCCCTGTCCAGGTCTGGACCTGAATCCAACCAGCTTGTCCTCTGCTTGCAGAATCCTTCACTACTCCCAGGTTCCAGATCAGACCCATGGGGCTGATCACGGAGGGAGATCAGCTCCAGATTAAGTGCACCATCCAGGTCACACACCTGACCCAGGCGAATCCAGAGATCTTAATCCAGAAGGACAAGACGATCGTGGCCCACAGCAAGCAAGGCAACGAAGCCGTCTACTCCGTGATGGCCATGGTGGAGCACAGTGGCCATTACAAGTGCAAGGTCGAAACCAGCCGCATATCCAAGGTCAGCAGCATCGTGGTCAACATAACAGGTAGGGTTGCTGCCGGTGGGTGCGCGCGCAGGGTGGGACTGCAGGGACCCAGGAGGCCAGTGGTTGCTGAGGCTTCTGCTTGTCTGAATGAAAGGAGGCAGGCAGGGGCGCAGGGCTGGGGGCCCACATGTCAGTGCCAAGGGCATAAGCCTTTTGCTGTAGTGCTTGAGAGTGCGGGTCTGATTCCAACCCTGCCACTCACTACAGCAGTGACCTTGGGTGAGTTATGGAACTTCTCCTTGTCACACTTCATGAGATGGGGATAATGACGGCGTCACCGAGAAGCCTGCTACAGTGGCCCATGGTGACTCTGCTGTACAGAGGCTCATACCGAGGAAGGACTCGGTGAATGTCAGCTAGGGGTTCTGTTACTAGCCATCACATTTATGGCTCCTCTGTGCCAAGCACTATGCCAGACACAGGTCAGGAGGCAGAAAGCATGAGTGAACTCAAAAATAACAGCCACAGGGCCTCCCTGGTGGAGCAAGGGTTAAGACGCAACCTATGAAGCAATCTGCAGCCACAGCAGCACAAGTTTGATTCCCAGACAGCCAGGGAGCTACCCACATGGCGCAGCAGAACTCTCCTGTCTCGCCCGCTGCTCCCCTCAGCAGTGTACTTTGGTCAATCTGCCTGTTCTGTTCCCCACTCTGTCTCTGGCGAATCCTCTCAACCACCACACCTCTGGCCTGTACCCCAGCTCTTGTATGCATAAATAAATAAATCTTTAAAAAAAAATAACAGCCACACTTCCACTTGGTTAAACATTGTACCGTGGATTGATGTACATTTTCCCCATGCTGCCAAGAGCACTTTTTCTCTTGGCCACTGAAAAAAAAAATCTCTTATCCTTCAAGATCAGACCCAAATCTCCCTCCAGCTTCCCAGGCAGAGGGTCCTCACATGCCCCCTTGCACTCTGCCCTGTCTTCACACACCATCATGATGAGGGTCTCTCCCCACCGCTCTGTGTGAGCTCTTCAAGGGCCAGTCTATGGCTTAATTCATCTTACATCATTGATACTCAGCACAGAGCCTGGCCCATTGGGGAGCTCCATGATATCCATTCAACGAGTGAACAAGACTGACCCTCAACCCCCACTACTCCTTGTGAGGGTCCAGCTGGTGTTGCATCTTGTCCTTTATGGACAGTCTGTGTATAAAGTCAGGGTCTTTCCTAACATTTCATCCTAATTGGAAACCATCTTGCATCCACCTCAGGAAAATGGGTTCTATGCTTTACATTTTCGTTTGCATATTTTAAATGAGATTACTTTGGGATTTTTTTCCTAAGCCATTTTTTCACATTTTGGGGTATCTGCCCAGTGGAGATTGTTAACCACTTTAGAAGTTTGTAGCAATTTCTTTGTTTACTTTCCCCCATTCCTGACCTAGAGTTTTTGATGGTGCTGTGAAAACAGACGAGTCAATGCTGGTATGGCGGAAAGGAAGCAGGAGGGAGGAAGGGAGAGAGGGAGGAATTTGTATTAATGACAAGTAGATCTGTTATTGGGATCCCACTTTATTTGAAGTTTTTCTTTATGCCTGTGGAGGAAACCAGAAAGACGTGATAGCCCGACTACGATAGAAATGATTTCCACTGATGACAATGACGGTGTTCATTTTTACCTTCAAATCTGTGTGGCAGGTCAATTCAGAGCCCCAGGCAGCATTTGACTCCCTGACTCCTGCTTGCATTCTCAAATCTCTAGCCTAAGAATGTTCCCCAAGAGAAACTTTGAGTCTCAGTCCCTTTCTCCACATGCAGATATTTCAGAAGAGACTCCTGCTTCCTTTTGCATCAAGGAAGCCAGGGTGCATTTGCTCACATGAGAGGCCCAAGCCTTCGCTTCAGTTAAGTAGTTAATTAGTAACTTCCCTGTAGCTGACAATGAAACATACACCACAACTCTGAAATATCGATATATTTCTGGGAATAGTTAAATTAGGAGAGGATACGATTTCTTGAAAGTCAATTTCATTCTTTATGCCTGCTGACACCCAGCTTAAATTATGAGATTAATAACCCCTGAAAGTGGCATACAGCTCATAGCTTACAAAATGCTTGCCCCCAGGAGGCTGAAGGAGTCATTTGCATCCCTCTCTAGGGATGCTGGAGGTGCTGGAGGGATGGTGGGCAGCTGCCACTTCTTCCCACCCGCACACCCTATGCTGTCATCTGCTTCAAGCCTGCACTACAGCCCCTCCTGCTTCCAGCCTGAGCCCCACCAACCCCATCCATTCTCCTCCCATAGATCCCCTCGCAACAATCACTGATGTGTCCCCCTGACCTCACTCTCCCCATGGTTCTCAATGCCCTGAGATAAATCTCTACTCCAAAGGTGCTCCCAAGGTCCTTCAAGAGCTCCGTTTCTTCCTCTTCTACTTCCGCTATGTTCCAGGCCAATTGAACTTCCAGCTGCTTGAACCTCCTGCCTCTGGCTGCCCTCCAGATGCTGTTCCCCCTGCCTAGGACAATTTCCTTCTGGATAGCATCCCCCAAGGGGCCTCTCCTGAGTCCCCACACCTACATTCAGGCTCCCCTCTCTGGGGTCTGCTGCAAACACCCCATCTAAATCTCTCACTAGATATAAATAGTCTGAAGTCAGGGACTGTATCTTTTTTCACTGCTCTCTCCCAAGTGCCAACCAAGGTGCCCAAGCACAGAGCTGGCCTGAAATAAAACAAGTGAGTGGATGAAAAAATGAGTGAATGCATGAATCATTACTTATTGCATTCAAGTTGCAAAACTTTCCTAATCCATGTCTGTGAGATAAATTAGATTAACAAGACAGGAATCCCTGCCATTGAAATCCCAGGCAAAGAACGTGCCCAGGCTCTGTAATGGTGATATCAGGTATATGAAAAGCAAAGGTAAACTCTCTGCACGAAGTTGAGGGCTAGTTCCGTCAAAAGCAGCTGGGCCAAAGTAGGGTGCGGGTGGTTCCCAGAAACGTCTTATCCCATTCCCCTGCACTGTTTTTCCAGAGCTATTTTCCAAGCCCAAGCTGGAATTTACCTCCACAAGGCTGGACCAAGGTGAAATCTTGAGTTTGTGGTGCTCTGTGCCAGGAGAGCCAACTTCAGCCAACTTCTCCATACAAAAGGGAGAAATGATTGTGTCCCAGACTCAAAATTTCACAAAGATAGCCTCAGCGTCGGACAGCGGGCCATACACCTGCCTAGCAGGCATAGGCAAGGTGGTCAAGAAGAGCAACACGGTCAACATCACTGTGTGTGGTGAGTATACCCTGGCCGGCTTCGAGAGTCTCGGGATTGAGTGGGGAAAAGGAGCGTTATCCCCAGGTCTCACCTTCTCCAGTCTGAAGGCCGATGGGACTGAGGCAGGGTTTGCACTCCAGGGAAAGAGAGAGGAATGAGGTGGAAAGACCTGACTGAAGCAAGTGGGCATTTCTGCTCAGAGCACAGGAGAGAGGCAAGACAGGAAAATGTAGTTGGCCAAGGTCAAGCTCACAGTTTTGTGGTGGCTGTCTGCCTGTGATGCGGCCTCAGCATTGACAAGCCTCTGGCTGCTGGCAGGGCGCCCACTCTAAAGGTCAGGAGCAAACACTGCTAAGTCTGTGCTAAGCTTAAAGGTCTAAGTTGCTGTTTTCAATCCTTTCCTGGCTCACCGGAAGGGCCTGAACTTCCAGGGGGTTGACTGTGGGTACTGAGTCCACTCAGAGCCCCGCTCCTCAGCTTGGACTGCGCATGCACAAGCTGGTTAGGATGCAGCTGGGGTGAATCTGTGTTTCTCACTAGCGCCTTGGGGCTGCTGGGTCCTGGACTACCCTTCTGGTCGAGGGCTTCTTAATGAATGGAGTTCCGGTCAAGTGGCCACCATATTGTCATCATTCAACTGTGGGCCTTTGATTTAACCCATGACTGGAGTTTCTCCAGTCAAGATTTCAGCTTCAGATGAACCAGGATTTTAATCTCTTGTCAGCTCTGTTGCCATCTAACATAAAAGGCAATCATTCAAGAGACAAATGTGGCTCATTACATGCTTGTTCTTTTTGTTGTTGTTCTGGGGAGGAGGTGGTTTCGTTTTCTAAACTTTATACATAAAGAAGCTAACTTCTAAATAACAACCTGCTAGGGTTTGTGTTTCTTGAGGCAGGCAATTTATTTTCAGAAGAGGGTGAGGCTCTGCAAATTTGTTACAAAATATATTGTTTGAGTGCTTGTTTTTTTTTTAAGACTTTTCCTGTGTCTGTGCCTGGGAGGTGTATGAAAATATAAACATGGTATGGGTTGTTGGAAAAGTTATGACGTATTTTTTTCTATGACTTTTTTGACAACCCAATACTTGGGGGGATGTGATGCTGTTCTTGAATCTGTGCCATCCTTGTTTGTTTGGAGGATTTTCTCTCCCTCTACCTCCTCACCACGCACGTGCTTTACCTGTCCGTCTTAAAGGATCATGGTAAACAAAGCAGGAGCCATTTATATTCCCATGGAGATGAGAAAGCAGGAGTTTGGAGAAGGAACCTCTTGGGCTCAATGTTTTGCTTCTGCCTTCAATGCCCTTCAGGTTTCTCTCTCTCTTTCTAGAAATGCTCTCCAGGCCCAGGATTTTTCATGACTCCAGGTCCGAGGTGATTAAAGGACAAACCATTGAAGTCAGTTGTCAATCCGTAAATGGAAGCTCGCCTATTTTTTATTATCTTTTGAAATCAAGTAACATCTTGGACAGGCGAGACCAGAACTCAAACGACCCCGCAGTGTTCAGAGATAACCCAACAAAAGACGCCGAGTACCAGTGTTCGGCAGACAATTGCCATTCCCACACAGAGATGGTCAGCCACGTTCTTAGGGTCAAGGTCATAGGTAAGTTGCTAACTCGCTGTGCTGTGAGGAGTCATGTGGGATGGGGGCTTCAGTTCATATTTTCAAAGGTTTGGGGTGGCCCAGGGGTTGAGTGGATGAGAGAAGCAGGAGACATTTGTGCAAAGGTCACAAACTTGACATGTGGCAGGACCCAAGGGCCTGGAAGGTGTCCGGTGTGGCCAATGTCATCTCTGTTCAGAACCTCTGAAGCAAAATACTAAAATACAAGAGTGTCCTGCCCTCAGGAAGCCTGAGCACGTGGGCTCGCTCAGCATTTGCTTCTACTTTGGATGAACCAACATCCATCTCTGAGAATCATAGACCCTTTGTCCAGCACCGGCCCCAGTGGGCAGACTTTGTCACAAGGGGAAACTGCAGCAATCAGAGCTGCAGGCTGTGGTCTCATGGGACGCTTGTGCTCAGAGAAATCTACCATTGTCCAGGTAGATATTTTCCTTGGAGCTCTTATACTGCGCCCCTCGCATCCACGCACGTATTGATGACGGCAGGAGGACAGGAGGCATCCAGTGCCACCCTGTGGGTCCTCTGCCATTGCCCTTGTGGGGAACTCTGGGAGGAAGCTTGAAGAGTGATAGCTGAGGGGAGTCTCTTGAGTAAGGGGCACAGCGCCTCTTTGGCCAGCATGGAGGGGGCCGGCCCAGAAGCAGGGACTGTGACATTCCTTCTCGTCCCCCTTTTCTTTCCTTGGCGCTAACCTTTTCCCTGTTTTTCAGCCCCGGTGGATGAGGTCACGCTCGCTCTCCTGTTTGATGACGTGGTGGAGTCTGGGAAGACTATTGCACTTCAGTGCTCTGTGAATGAAGCGTCTGGTCCAATCACCTACAGGTTTTACAGAGAAGAGGAGGGCAGGCCCTTCTTTGAAACCTTCTTGAATGACACCCAGGCCATTTGGCACAAGCCAGAGGCTAGCAAGGAGCACGAGGGACAGTATTACTGCACAGCCTTCAACCGAGCCAACCGGGCCAAGAATGTCCCCCAGAGCAACATCCTAACTGTCAGAGGTGAGTGGGGATGTACAGGCGAGAGGTAGTGTGGGTTCTGAGGTCAGGCCAGAAAGCACACCTCTTGTCAGAGGAAGTGGTGGGAGTTCAGTGCATCTTGCCGAAGAGGAAGAGACTGACATCCAGGGTCTTCAGGTGCAGGTGACAGAAATCTACTCAAATTCAGAATAGAAGGTGAATGAGTATAACAAGGAATTAGAAGAATTTCACACAGTCTGAATTCCAAATTCTCAGCAGAGAGATAGCAATGAGGCCATTTTGCGTCAAACATTCACCCATAGACCCTCTACAGCCATGGGGATTGGGTCATGCAGAAGGGAAATCCTTTAGGGGAGCCCACCTATGTGGGGAGAGGGTGGTTTCCTAGACAAGGGGGCAGCTGAACACATCCCAAGGAGTCTGGTCAGTCCCGAGGTCCTTCAGCCCAAAGCTGATTCTAGCAGACGCCACCATGTCTGGGCCAGCAACGGACACGAGTCCCTTCAGGTAGAGGCTCCGGGTAAGATGCTGGTTATGAGGCCTGTGAAAATCGTCATATTTGTTGCTTAAGGGTGATATTATTTCTTGTTTACTTCATTCCTAGTCTTTTTTGCCCCCTGGAAGAAAGCTCTCATCGCAGTATTTGTCATTGGTGTGATCGTTGCCGCCTTGATACTTGGGGCCAGGTACTATGTCCTGAAGAAAGGCAAAGGTGAGCGCAGGGCCCCCCTCTCCCGACAGGGCAGCCTTGCCAGGGAGGCCACGGATGGGCTGCAGTTTCTGGGGGGGTGGGTAGGAGCCACTGGAGCTGCACCCCAGTGGGGCTGAGGAGACGCCCCCACTGTGACTGTAGAACTTTTCCTGAGGGCGTCACCATGACCAAAAATTTTGGCCTGGGTGGGCTCCTGGATTTAGCCAGGCTAAATCCACAATAAAAATGCTAAATGAAAAATCCTTAATGAAAGTGATCGCTTTTCTAATTGTGCACCCAGGAAAGAGATATGGGGCCAAGTTGCATTGACATGTGGTCAGAAGAAGCTATTCCTGTGGATTTGGCTACAGCTAGACCTGTAGTTGGTAGAGAGCAGACTGTGAGCATCACACACACACACACACACTCACAGATGTTGAATATTGTCCTATTAATTTGTCGGCTGGGCCATGATTTCCACCCTGTGCTTGGGGTTAACCACACAAGAAGGAAAACCAGGATCAGCCACCAATTCCCAGGTACCAGGCTCAAGGTCAAGGGCACAACACCAGTAAATTTGGCAAGTGCATCTTGTGGGATAAGGTGGGCTCTGTTGCAACCCCTGATGCTGCTGCCTGGGACCAGAGGGGTAGCTGGGAGGAAGATGGATCCTGGGTTTCATGCAGAGCAGGAAACTACGACTCCTCTGGAGGCAAGGCTCCAGAACAAACCCCAGCCCAAGGCTGACCCTGACCTTGGTCCCAGGTCAGCATGGAGTTAGGGAGCAATTTAGCTTTTCCTTTTCAGAATGGTCTTGAATCCAAAAGACAATTGTCCATTTATCAGGCTAATCGGGTTCCTGCCCCCATGTCTTCATCTCGATCAAATCCCTTGAAGGAAAATTGCTTTTTATGGAAACAATCAAAATGTCAAGTTTCAGGGACAATGGTGTGAAATTTCTTGGTAATGAGACCTGCTTTGTTTGTTTATTAAGTGGGACTGTGTTTGACTTTCTTTTCTCTCCTTAATGGTATTGAATCTTCCAGAAAGTCAAATATTGTTGACATGAATGCTCCTGTCTGTTGTGGACGGGAGTACTTTATACTGACTTTGGATTTTCTCTTTCTCTCTTAAAGCCAAGCAGATGCCAGTGGAGATGTCCAGGTCAGTGGATGTGGAGGGGGTGGCTGCCTGGGGAGCATGGACAGGCTTGTCTCTAGGGAGTCCTTGGAATTAGAACATTTTCAGTGATTCCTGGAAAATTCAAGAAAAATTAAGGACCTTGGGTGTGAATCGTGTAGAGCTGCATGTGTTTGTGAATGCGTGTGTGTGTGAATTTTTGTCTTAATGGAAGACTGCCAACTCTGCTTTCATGGGAAGGAATAGCTGTATACTGAGGTCATGTCCTTCCTACACTGTTCACTTGTGAATTCCCCTATTCTTATGAAATTATAATGGTAACAGATGGAATTTAAAAAATGTACTTACTTGGCAAAATAGAGTTAGTCTGAAAAAATGGTTGTGTTATTTTTATTGTTTCTTGAAATCCAAAATCTGGAAGTATGGACAGGGTAGCTCTGTTGCCCCGGAGACACAGTAGCACGGGATGAGGAATTTAGAGGGTTGGGATTCACCTGATAAAAGGTTCCTTTGGTTCTGACACTTTAACAGCAAAAAGTATTTGCATGCAGCACAATTTTTTTTTAAATAATGGAAACATTTTTAAAAATGATTTATTTATTTATGCATGTAAGAGCTGGGGTACAGGTCAGAGGTGTGGAGGGTGAGAGGATCCACCAGAGACAGAGTGGGGAGCAGAACAGGCAGACTAACTGAAATACACTGCTGAGGGGAGCAGAGGGCAAGTCAGGAGAAGTCTGCTGCGCCATGTGGGTTGTTCCCTGGCCGGGGATCAAACTCATGCTGCAGAGGCTGTGGATTGCTTCATAATGTGGTGTTTAACCCCTTGCACCACCAGGGAGGCCTGCATGCAGCACTATTAATAGCAGCTAGGTCCTTGAAAGACAGTTGGAGGGAGAAGATCTGGTCTGTCCACAGAGTGGGATTCAGCCACAAGATGAAACAGCCATTTACAGGAAAAAAAAAAAAAAAAAGAGGGGGTTCCAAGCAATTCCAGATGACAAAGATGAATAGTGGACATTGACCTAGCAGATGATCTGACCAAGTGAAATGCTTACAAAAACTAGCAGACACTAAGACATGAACTGAGGCTCTGGGGTTAAGATGGATGGCGGAGAAAGGGATAAAGGGATAGAAAGGATGATAATGGGGGGGGAAAATAAAATATTTACTCTAAAAACCAAAAGATTTTTGTCAAAAGAATCTTAGAATTGAAACCAGTATTTTGCAAACGAGAGAATAGCCTTCCTCATTTTGGAAACTCTTCCTGGTTTTCTCCTGGTCTTTCCTTGATTATTTTGTTGGTTTGGGGTTAAAGCCAACAAAAATGTGATCTATTTTTTTCCTTTTTGATTTCCTTTCAAGGCCAGCAGCGCCACTTCTGAGCTCCAATAATGAGAAGATGTCAGATCCCAACATCGAAGCCAACAGACATTATGGTAAATCCTGGTTTTCTGCAGTTGCTGAGAGTTTTCCCAGCTGGCTACACACTCCCTCCCCCTCCCAGAGCCAGAATCTGTAGGCCTGGGGTTCAAGTTGAAAGGGAAGCCCTGACTTCCAGTAGAAGCACCTAATCTAATCATCTGGTGAGCTAATAAGCAAAACAAAGACCTCAGAAGAAAGACAGAACATTCTACTCTTGTTTCACCTCCTTCTAAACATCCTGAGAATGAAAGGTGGAGAATAACTATAGTGCCAGGACACCCATTCTGGGTTATTTTCAAAGTCTTTGAATATTGCCCAGATGTAATCATTCTTTGTAAGAAACCAGGCATGAAATGAAGGCACTGGTGAAGTATCTACTCAGGTGAAATTCTTTATTAAAAGAATAGGACAGTTTTATATCAGACTTGCCATGACAGAAGGCCAGTTTAAATATTTCATTGTTACTAGAGGAATTTAAAATAAAATAATAAAGGAATGCTTGGTTAAAAGGCTCAATTTAAGGGCCTCCCTGGTGGCGCAGGCGGTTGAGCGCAGTGCCGTGAAGCTGTCCGCAGTCTCTGCAGTGCTGGTTCGATCCCCACCGGCCTTGGAGCAACCCACATGGCCAGCAGGGAATCGAACTCGTGCTGCAGAGGCTGTGGATAGCTTCACAGGTTGCGTCTTAACCCCTTGGCCACCAGGGAGGCCCCCAGTTTTCTTTCTTTGGGAATAGAATTCATATTCTTTTCTAAGAATTCTTTTCTAACAGTGTCCCAAAAATCAAGAACATTTTAGGATATTCCTTTAGTAAGGCACACATGAGAAATATGTCTTAAGTATGAGCAATTCTTATGATATTGAGTCACAAACTCTAAAAACATAAAGTAAAACATTTGTTATCACAGAAGCGATGTACAAATAAAGAGAAGAAAGCAGACACCTCATCTAAGACACTAGATTCAGAAAAGAGTGACTATGTAGCAAAAGGTAATCAAGTGCTATAGAGAAAATATTCTTTTTTGATATATTTGTATTTGATTATACATAAATACAAAGATACTTTAAATGCTTAAAATAGTATTTCCCCTATAATTTCCAAAATGCAAGAAATACTCATTATATTGTCTGTGCGTGGATTATTTCAGTTTATGACTATATTTTAGTAGCCATAAGAACAAGAAGTTGGTTTACATACCTAATAGAAAATGATGCGTTCATCAGGGATAGTATTTACATCACTTTCAAGAATTCTTTTTAATAAAGAACAACATAATAAAGGCTTTCCTGGTGGCGCAAGGGTTTAAGTCTCAGCACAATGAGGCTATCGGCAGCCACTGCAGCACTAAGTTTGATCCCCAGCCAGGGAGCTACCCACATGGCATAGCAGACCTCTCCTGCTCCCCTCAGCAGTGTATTTCAGTAGACCTGCCTGTTCTGCTCCCCACTTTGTCTCTAGTGAATCCTCTTGCACACACACCCCCCCCACACACACACCTCTGGCCTATACCCTAGTACTTGGATGCATAAATAAAATAAATCTTTAAAAAAAGAAAACAATAAAAAAAGACTTAAAATTTTTGCACGGCAAAGTGGCCGCCTTGGGGTACTGCAATTGCTTTAAAACTTTTCTGAGTTCTCCAGCTGGGGAGTTGCTTTATCAGCATCCTCATATTCATGGTCACTGGGTCATCCCTTCTAAAATTAACTTTTGTTTCCAATGAACTTGTTCCAAATGAACATTTCTGAATTCTGATCAGTTCAACCACAGAAGCATCCCTCTATGGCATAGTAGGTCGGATGGGGCTCCAGGGGAACCGGGTCGGGGGGGGCAGTCCAGAACTACCCTGCTAGTTGCCAACCCCACTCTGGAGAAATTGGACTTTACTTCCTTTGTTAGCAGCACTGACTTTTTATATAGTTTATATAGAAAACTAGAATTTCCATTGTCATGGATCCTAATTCTTATTTTTCAACTAGGTTACAATGAAGATGTTGCAAACCATGCAAGGAAACCAATAAATGACAACAAAGGTAATTATCTAATTAAGTCTTTACATTATTATTAGAAATCTTTACACAAAGATAGACCCCTAGGAAAGGAACCCAAACTCTTAAGGCCTATGAATATTGTCCCAGCTCTCTTACCCACCCTGTCACTGGCTGATACATAAAATGGAGTTGCTTTCTCCAGAGTGTCCTTAATGAGGGAAATCACCTAAATTCTAGTAGAAAATAACTGGCTTCTACCCTAAAAGGAACTTCCTGATTCAGAAGGGGCTACTGAATAAGGTAGGAGTTGCTCTTCTTTCTTGGATAGTAGAGGCAGAAGGTAACTTTTTAAAAAGCATCAACCACAGATCATCACGCTGTATACCTTAAGTTTCCACTGTGTTCTATGTCAATGACCGTTCAACACGATCAGGGGAAAGTGTCGGGGAGCGGTGGGGGCATGCACAGGGTACTTCAAAGGTAGCTCTTTTTCTTTAAAAGATTATTGAATGTTTGGATGTATGTTTTACTTACAACTTACAAATATGTTGTATCTATATATTCATTTTATATTCAATAAAAACAAAAAGTACACTCCAAAAAAATAAAATAGCACCACTGCTTATTTTTGAAGACAACAAGAGTTTGCTTCTGCCTAAAGCACTGAAGGATAAGCCAAATAATTTTTAAAAATTCCTTTCCCCTAGGGCTGCTACCCTGGGAATCAAAACCCTGTAGGGGCTCAGGGATTCTATAAACACCCCCTGTCCTTGACTGTAGAATCGCTGTTTCAGTTGCTACTGAGGAACCCCAGTTCTCTAGGGCTTCAAAATTGAAACAGTAATGTTATATTTTGCACTGAAGACAAATGAATGTACTAGATTTCTCTGTAGTGTCCCAACAGCTCTCACTAATTTGTTTTTCTAGGCTTGTACCTCAGACTTTCAAAACATTTTCAGTTGGGGCCCCTACTTCCAATTTCTTGAGATCCTCTCCATCTTGGAGGTACCTTTCTCTGCCTGTGGCCATGGAGTGGGTTAGCAGAGGTGACTGCTGTGACTGGTGCTGGCTGTTTTCTGTTTTACTGAGCATTTACAGATCTACTGTGGAAACAACAGCAACCCAGGTTGGGGTGTCTTTCCCCACTGAAGGGGTGCAGGTGTCTTTGCCACCTCCCTCAGCCTGAGGTTTCACACCTACATAGAATGAAGTTCAGCCCGTGTCTGGCTCCCCCTGTAAATATTAATCTTTTGAGTAGGAATCTCTAATGTGGCCTGAGGTTGCCCCCCGCTGCCCCAGACCCTGTCTAACCCCAGGGAGTTGTGGTTCTTTTGAGCAGAGCCTCTGACCTTGGACGTGGAGTACACAGAAGTGGAAGTGACCTCCCCAGAGCCTCACCGAGGTAAGGCGCTGGCACACCCCAACCCACCCCACCCCCACCCGCGATCTCGTAGGTTCAGTTCTGCTTGTGGATAGGCCTGCCGGCACGCAGCGGTCTATGCTGTGGCCCAGAGTCTGGTCACCCCCAGTAGCTCAGAAGGGAGGTGATCAGTGAGACCCCCTGGACATGTCATGGGCAGGAGCCATGACACGCCCCCCCTGCTCCCACCCCCCCACCCCCCCTTGAAGGTATACAATTTCATTAATTATCACTGACCAAACCTCCAGCGGTGGGTGTGTGTGTGTTTGAGCGTCACTCAGAGCCAGGTGCTCACTGCATGCTAGGAGGTGTCTCTGGAGGGACGGCCTCCCCGTGGGCGTTTGGACTTTCTTCCAGAGCTACATCCCTTGCCAAATTTTGCTGAAAAGTTGTTCACAGGCTGAGCCTGTATTTCTGAAATGCTTGTTTTAAGGAAGCAGGGGGGTTGCCATTTATAGGGACAGTTGGAGAAAGGGATTTGAAAACAGAAGCCCCTTTGATGTAAACAGCGGCCTGTCACACTTTGAGGTGTGCATGTGTGTGTGTGCATGTGTGTGTGTTTCTCTCAGGGCAGGCTGCCCGGAGGTCTTCAGTCTAGTTCTCCGCTGGGGAGACTGACTCGGAGTGGGGTGGTCCCCAGCAGACACTAGACTCCAATCTCAGTTGCTTTTGGCCCCCAGAGGCCCCTGCTCACTCACAGGAAGAGCTGCCCAGACCCAGCCTGCTGGCAAGCGAGCCAGGCTGGGTCTGGGCACCCCTCTTGCTGGTGAGGATTAGGACAGGCAGGCCTGAGATGACGTTTCAGACCAGGCTGTGTGACATGAGCCACGTGGCCGTGTGACCCTCTTGTTACTTCTTGCTCCATGATCTGAGAGGAATTCGGGGTTTCTTCCTCCCTCCCTTGCTTAGTTTCTGGGGACCATGTAGGAAGGTGGGTGCACAGAACCCTGCAAGCAGATGACACCCCCAGGCCTGCACTTCCAGACCAGGCTGCGGTGGGAGGGCCGGGGCGGGGCAGGTCTCTTCCTCTTTGTTTCATTGTAAAGCAATTCAGCAAAGGGACCTTTGGCCCCTCGTGGCGGGAAAGCCCAAGACAGCCCCGGAAAGCAAGGAACCAAGAACTAGATAAATAGTGTGAGGTCACAGCACGTGCTCCGGAGGATGGGGGCTAGGGGAGGGCCGGAAAGGAGTGTCTCTTCTGGCTTGGGTGGTCCCAGAAGGCTTATTAGAGGAGTGGCGTTTAAGCTAGGCCACTGGGGCCGCTGAGAAGGTGACCCCAGGGGAGGACGGTAGGAGGACCCAGGAGACAGGAAGGCCGGTGCAGGGTGGCTCGCGGAAGGGTTTGAGAGGAGATGTGTCTGCACAGAGAGCGGAGGGAGAGGGGGCAGAGGACTGGGGGGTGGGGCACAGGCCTCTGAGGTTCCCTGCATCCTCATCTCAGCAGATCAGGGGGGCTTTGGAAGCCTTTAGGCTGGCCCCTTCTTCCTTCTTTAAAAATGCTTGTGAATGATGGCTTGAAGGGGACACGAATGGACAGGGGGAGACCAGTGTGTGATCAGATGGGGGAGCCACTGTGAGGGATTCTCATGTATTTTGGAAACACATCACAGCATTGCATGAAAAACTTAATGACCAGGGATGGGAAACAGGGTAGCTACAGGGTTGCTACAGGTTGACTGGGGGGCACAGGCTGGTGGGGGGGGATCTGGCCCCAAGATGAGACCCCAGATCCTGGTGCTCACAAGCAGCCTGGGCGGGCTGTGGAGATGGGACAATAGGCCTTCCCTAGTCCAGTGATGGCCTCCTCGGCCACCTGCATCCTGGGTTCTGCCCAGGAACAGCTGCTTACTTCCTCTTTACAGGGAGTTCAGGCTTGGAAGAAAATTTTACCGAATCCCTTAAGGCGAGAGTCTGTTTCCAGGTGCCCCAAATTCAGAAACATGGCTCTATTAAACAGACCAAGAACTTTATTCCCTGATAAGCAATAGAGAAGGAGCACCCAGAGCTTCAGGGATGGGTCCCTTTTACTTGGGGGACTGGCCTCCTCCCAATTTGCACGTCATGGTTTTGGGTGGAGTCTGGACGGTCATTGCCAGGATGTCTCTTCACGCGCTGGGCTGCACTCTGCACAGGTCCCTCCTCTCCCTTCTCCCCTCCTCCCCATACCCTTGTCCTTGCCCCCTCCCCGCTAGGCACCCAGCCACCATCTTGGGAGTGACCAGGAGGGTCCACTTCTGCGGTTCCGCCTCTCCTAGCTCTCACTCCCCAGCAAAGGCACAGCTTGGTGTAATTATCTACCCCAGAGTTACAGAATCCCTCCTCTGTTTCATTCTGTTCCTCACCTTGAGGGGGACAGGGCAGAGATCACTTTTCTTAGATTGCATTTTATTTATGGGCCTGTGCTTTCAAAAGAACTGGGGTGAGAGGACAGAGCTGCCCAAAGATTTTGAATGTGTGAGGGGGAGCCCCACCGTGCTCCTGACCCTCCAGGCCCTCTGAGCCCCCTAGCACAGTGGTGTGGGGCTCTGGCAGGGACATAGGGACATTCTGAGACCCACCCCCAGCCCCAGTGCCCACTGCCTCTTGGGGTTGCTGGGCCTGATTCCTGGAGTGTTGGGGCTAAGGAAGCTGATGCAGGGAGATGGAACCGGGATTCTTTTTGCTTTTCTTTGGGAATATTTCCACGTTTGTAGCTCCTGGTTTCCTTTTTCTTGCTTGAGGAAGGGAAGGGGTTGGAGGCCTCCTAGGACTTGGTGGAGCAGCACACTGTCTGCCTAACTGTGCAGCTGCTGGGTGCAGCCACTCAAGTCCTCACCTCCTTCCAATTTGAACAGAGGGCCTCAGGAAGAGCTAGAATGATACTTGGGTGGAAATGGTGAGTTTCTAGAGAATTCAAGTTGGCTTCTCTGGACCCTCCTCCTGGCAGCTAAGGGACAGTGGGGGCGGGCAGGCTGGCCTGTGAGCTCTCCCCCTGCTTTCAGATGAGGGGGCATCACTAGATGAGGAAAGGGCTTTGCGTGTTCAAGGCCAGTTATGAGACAACTTGGCCTGGTCTCGGCCAACCAGCCTCTGTCCTCAAGGCCTCCCTGTAAGGGCAGGACAGGCCACTGAGCAGGTTTTCTGATCCAGCAGACCAGGTAAAGGAGGAGTCAGAGTCCTCAGTGGTTTTTGCAGGTCTTTAACTGGGATTTACCAGGCACACAGCAGGCCGGGGTGCTGGGGGCCGGGAGGCTGGCAGGCCTCCCGGCCCCCAGCGCATCCTCACTCCAGCTGGGCTCTGGTCTTCTCTCGGCTTCCGTTCGTTCTTGGCTTCTTCCTCGGCTTCGGCTTCTGCTGGCGTCCCCGCGACGCCGCCCTTATAAACTCTGTCTCTCAGCCCAGGTGGACCCACTGCAGGTGCCGCCATCAGGCATGCATTCAGGACCACAGGGTTCCCTCATCTATCCTGATGGCGGGAGAGCAGAAAAGCCTGATACCTTTTCCTTACCCTATATGTCTTAGAAATAAAATGGCTTCTATTCTTCTGTAAGGGCAGGAATGACACGGAGAAGGTTTTCTGATCCAGAAGACCGGGGTAAAGGAGGAGAGTCCTGGAGGCCTCAGTGGCTTTTGCAGGCTTTTATTGGGATTTACCAGGCACACGGCAGGCAGGGGAGCAGGGGGGCCGGGAGGCTGGCAGGCCTCCCAGCCCCCAGCAAGTCTTCACTCTATCTGGGCTCTCCGGCCTTCTCTCTCTCTGGGCTTCTGCTCTGCTTCTCTGCTTCCTTCTTGGCTTCTGCTGGCATCTCCGCGACGCTGCCCTTAAAAGCCCAGTCTCAGCCCAGATGAATCCCATCTACATATGCCCGCACCCTACTCCAGGTGCCCGCCATCAGGCATGCATTCGGGACCACAGGCTTCCCTCATCTATCCTAATGGGGAGAAGGCAGAAAAGCCTGATACTGATACTTTTACCTTACCCTATACTCCCCCAGCACCGTTGGGGTGGAGGTGGGGGAGGGGACCGCATCCAGCTCTACCCTGGCTGGTAGCTGACCAAGTGGTCACTTGGGGGTGGAGGAAGGGCAGGAAGGAACTCTCAAGCCCGGTATGCTGCAAGCTTGCTCGCAGGCTAATTGCTGGGAAAACCCCGTGACGTTGAAGCCCACTGGTGCGCTGTCAACAGGGAAAAAACAGAAGCCAAAATATAGCTCTGTCCGGAAACGCCCCTGACAGCTGAGACAAACAGCCTGCCAGCCTGTTTTAGTCATTAGCAGGCAGCTGCTGCCCAGGGGCAGCGAGGGAGGAGGGGCAGGAGTGATGAGCCACTGACCCCCACCCGCCCCCATCTGAGCTGGGCAACCTGGAGGCAGCAGGGAACCACCTGGCAGCAGCAGCTCCAGCGGCTCTGCCACGACAGGCAAAGCAGCCACTGCCCTGGCTGATGTGCAGAGTTGTGTGGTGATGGGGTCCCCCGGGTGACCAGGGTGGTCCACAGCTACCCCATATGTGCAGGTGGGCAGGCGAGTTCATAAGGGTCTCCAGACCCCAGAGCCCTGGCTCCAGTCCTTCCCCACTGCTCCCACCTCCCATGGTGGGGCTGACAGGGAGCCCTGGGCCTCATCTGCCGTGTTTATCCGCTATCACAGCATTGTTGTCCCGCCCGCCCATCCACACGGGCGGCCTGCAGTGTCACAGGGCACCAGGTCCGGCTCACCTTCTCCTCCGCTGCCCTGGTAGGCACACAGTGGTTTTAGGATCGTACTGAATAAATGACTTGCCTGGGCCTGACATGGAGCAGAGTCCCTTGGGGATGTGGAGGATCCCCCAGAAGATATGGGGATCCCTGAAACTTCCCTCCACACCCCCAAATCTGCTGTTGTGGAGGGAGAGTAGGGTGCTCTGGGCAACTCTGCTGGCCTCTTAGAGAAGGCAGGGTCCCCCCAGGGCCTGGTGTCTCAGCCACTCTGTTGAGTGCCAGCTCCTCCTCAGCACCCTTTGGGAGTCACCACAAGGCCTTATGTGAGGCCCTGGCCACACCAGGTACTCCTAGTTCTGCTGTTGGGATCGGAACCAGTCTTTCTTCTGGTGTTCAGGCCCTGACACAGGAACCACCGCCATTCAGTGTGTGATGAATGAATGTGATTTTAATCCTAAAACTAAACACCTCAGGGATCGGGTTGATTAGGCCAAGAACTTCCTGGGGTGGGCGTGAGAGTAGGGATAGAAGGGCTGAGGTAGAGACAGGTACAGGGATGTGGTACCTTCTCTATCACCTCAGGCCCTTCCAGCTGCCCCAGGTTGCTGTGCCAGGCCTGGGGTTGGGGGCGCACGAGACTTCCAGCACAGCCCAGAACTCCAGGGGAACAAATACTGTCCAGCATGTTGTGGGCAAGTGTCCCCAAATTGCTGTGTGAGCAGAGGGCCTATGGAACTCCTGGGCACAGGGACGGGGGAGTGCATGAGGGCCTCTGTGCTGGAATGCTGGGGCAGCGCTGGTCCTGGGAAGGGAGGATGAGGAGCAGTGAGGCCGAGAGAAAGGGCCATGCGGGCTGTCCCTGGAGTGGTGAGTTTGTTGTAGAGCAACCCCAATACAAAACGGGGTGCCTGACTGTGGGTCCTCACCCGCGTGCTTAAAAGGACTTATCAATGCTCTACTGCAGGCACACGCGAAAGGTTAATAAAAGGTTTATTCACAAGGGAAGGGGAAATGAGGAAATGGACAGCTCAGGGAGAAAAGTGGGAGACAAAGTTTTAAATGCGTCCTACCCGATCCGCCGATCAGGAATCCCAAAATGGCACTCTGAGAGCTGGCTGCAAGCCAGGAGCGGTGAAGCCAGGAGGCGAGTGATAGCGAGCCCCCCAAGGCCCACGTGTTTTGTTTTTATATCCACCCTGGCTGCCCAACTCCACCCTCAGGTCCCAGCCACCCTCCCTTTGGTGGTGATGGGATTTGTCTTTCCCAATGTCCTGATGGCTTTAGTCTGGAGTGGGGGTGGGGTCCACAAAGCCTGTATGGGATTAGCTTAGGGCATCATTTCCCCCTAACAAGTTGAGGGCCTCTCGGTGCAGTCAGAATCCAGGGCAGCAGCCTCCTGCCCTGAAGAGACTGCTGGCCTGACCATGCTGGCAGGCCGCTTCCTACCCTGTCTGGAGCTGCTTCCTGAGCCATAGGAGAGAGCCGGCCATGTGGCTGCAGGGCCTTTTTACAGCGAGGCTTCCAGGACATTCTGCAGGTGAGAGAAGGGAAGCAGCAGGCTCCGATCTGCCTCCTAGGTGTGTCTCTGTGTGTCTGTGTCTGTGTGTGCACACACTGGTATGTATGTTTATACACACTGTACATGTGTATGCAAGGCATTGTTGTGTCGGACAACACCACACTGACAAACGGGAGTCGTGGAGCAGGCTACATAATGCAGGATGCTGCTGAAGAGCAAGATCCTGGCCCTTTTATTGACACATGTATTTGGTTGTAAGGAGATTAAGGAGTTTAAAGAAAGGGGAAGGGTGTAGAAGATTAGGGATTGTGAGTCTGCCCTCCAGGCACTTCTTATCTACTTGATGACAGACCTTAATTTCCCCCCCCCACCCATGGTTCTAATCTTTTCAACAAGGCGCTCCACTGATCAGCTTCTGGGGTCCCTTGTCACACATCAGTCCTCGGCCTCCCTCTGCCCCACCCCCACCCCCGGCGTTCCCAGTCATACCTCGTGATGTAAAACTCGGGAGTATGTGTTATGCATCGGTCCTCAGCCCCCTGGGCTTTCTGGACATACCTCATGAGGTACATGTTATGCATGGGTCCTCAGCACCCCCAGGCGTTCCGGACATACCTCCTGATGCACAACCTTCCCGGTGTGGTCCAGCTTTGTGCTCTTGTTTGATTTGAAGGGCTGAAGGGTTGGGCTCCTTTTCCTAACTGGCCGGACCACTTTGACCTAGTTTAGGTGACATAATGGCGGCCGAATAGGCTGCCTAGGAGTAGCAGACCCACAATGCATGTGGACATACTATGAGTGTGTGTGTGTGCGTGCACGCGTGTACATCACCTGATGATAAACACAGGGCTTTTTGAATCCCAAACCCTCGGGTCTCCTCTAGGTGTAATCCACACCCGTCAGTTTATAAGCATCCCCCGTGGAACTTTTTTTTTTTTAGAAGCTGGGGTGGAAGGCCACAGAAGTAGGTGGGGGGGGGGGTAGGAGGACTCACCAGAGACAGAGTGGGGAAGCAGAACAGGCAGACTGACTGAAACTCACTGCCGAGGGGAGCAGCAGGAGAGAAAGGAGAGTTCTGCTGTGCCATGTGGGTCACCTCCCCAGCTGGGGATCAAACTTGTGTTGCAGAGGCTGCAGATAGCTTCACAGTGCTGTGTCTTAACCCCTTGTGCCACCAGGGAGGTTCAGGTTCCCCACCCCCCCCCACAGAACTCTTAACAAAACACCAACACCAAGATGCACCCAGACAGTTCCCTCACAGGTGGCCGTGAGTCTCAGGTGTTGGCGTTTGAAACCAGCTAACCCAGTGGTCCAGATTTGTGAGCAATGTTCAGTCCTGCTGATCCTTAAGTCATAGATGAAGCCTAGGCTCTACCCAGACCTCGGGTCATTTAGAGGCCAGGGCCCAGCATCCTGGGAGGGGCTGACACGGGGACAGGAGGGCAGGGAGAGGGAAGGGGCCTCTGAGATGGAGGCTGCAGGCCTGTGGTGGGTCCCTCCACCGCAGCCCCCAAGGTTCAGGGTTCCCTTGGCCTTCCAGGCTGGGAGTGATGCTGGGTAGACCTCGAAAGCAAGGAAATGCCAGATTTAGGGGTGACAAGTTTTCTAGATGCTCCTGGAGATGGGTACCCATGGGGTGGCGTAGCGGGGTGCAGCCTTGTGGGGGGAGCCTGAGACGTTCTCCAGCGGTGGGATGACTTGGCCCAGAGGCTGCTTCTGACTTGTGCTGCTTCCTCCCCAGGTCTGGAGACGAAGGGCACGGAGACCGTGTACAGCGAAATCCGGAAAACTGACCCTGGTGAGTGAGGGGCCCTTGGCTCCTTGGCCTGATCCCCAGAACCATCCAGGGGGTCTTGGGAGTGAGCAGGAAAAGAGGGAACAAAGAAAGCCAAAAAGAGGTGCTACCTCTACCAGAGTTGACTCTCTCCTGCTGTTACAGGGCAAACCCCGATATAAAATGGGGTTGCCTGACTGTGTGTCCTCACCTGGGCACTTAAAGGGGACTTATTAATGCTAAACTGCAGATACACACACAAAAGGTTGATAAAAGGTTTATATACAAGGGAAGAGGAAATGGGAAATGAATAACTCAGGGAGAAAAAGAGGGAGATAAGTTTGTAAATGTGTCCTACCCGTTTCTGCTGACCTGGAATCCCAATGACCCTCCGAGCTGGCAAAAACCTAGCACACCTCGTGGCCAAGAGGGTGACCTCCCGGCCACATGGCCACTTAAATACCCAAACTGAGAGCCTAGTTGCTTAACTCCGCCCTCAGGTCCTCGCAACCTTCCCTTTGGTGATCATGGGATTTGTAGTTCCAGCGTCGTGGGGGTGGAGTCCACAAAGCCTGTATGGAGTTTGCTCAGGACATCCTTCACCGCTATCACTACCACCCTGTAAAGCAGCCCTGGGCTAATGCACGATTCATCTGTAGACACGAGGTTCTGCCATAGGCCAGGCGAACCAAACCTCCAGCGTCTGCACCCAGCTGACGGGGTGTTGGGCTGAAGCCTGTGCTGGCACCGCAGCCTCTGCAGCACGAGTTCCATCCCTGGCCGGCCAGGGAGCTGCCCACATGCCGCAGCAGACCTCTCCTGACTCGCCCGCTGCTCCCCTCAGCAGTGTATTTCGTCAGTCTGCCTGTTCTGTTCCCCACTCTGTCTCTGGTGAGGCCTCTCACCCTCTGCATCTCTGGCCCAGCTCTTGTATGCATAAATAAATAAATCTTTAAAAAAAAAAAAAAGAGGAAGGACAGGAAAGCTCTTTGAGCGGAGGGCGGTCCTGCGTAGGTAGCCACCGAGGGGCTGACAAGCAGGGGTTTATATAAGTACAGTGAGGGAGGGGAGGGGGCTGCTGTTGGGTGTCTCGGCGTTGTGTCTCTTGCTGATTGGTTGGGACCGTGGGGTCTCCTAGGTTACTGAGGTCCCTGGCCTCTCTTTCCGGAACCAGCTTTGGTGTGTTGCTTTAGCACTGTGTTATTGGATTGGAGGGCACCCTCCTGGTGCCACGATTATTCTACAATCAGGCTGATAAATGGACTTAGGGCACCCGGACTTGGGGTGAGGGAGCACCCTCCTGGTTTCCACTGTTCAGATTGATAAATGGGCTCGGCCGGTGGGGCACCCTCTTCCTGACTAACTACCTGACCCATTCCTAATTCCCTCATTCAAAGCTACTGAGACATGGAGAGGGGAAGACTTGCCCAAGGTCACAGCCGGCAAGTCCCTGAGAACTGACCCACCTGAAACCAGACCCACCCTGAAACCCTGCCTTTGGTTTCAGGGAAGGGAAGGTGGCCTTGCCTGGAGGCTGCAGGGACCCCGTTCAGGAGGCACCTCCTTGCCCCAGACTCGGGGGCCCAGGGTCTGTGATCACCTGAGGCATACATGGCGGTCCTTTCTCGCTTGTGGAAAGGTCACACCCAGCGTGCATCCCCAAGTCCCACTAAAGGCAGATGAGCAAGAGCAAATCAGCAATGAGTTACTCAAAGGAGTGGGTGGAACTTGGAGCTTATTTGCATCTTAACAAAGAACAGCACTTTTTTTTTTTTTTAAGATTTATTTATGTATGCATACAAGAGCTGGGGCACAGGCCAGAGATGCAGGGCGTGAGAGGATTCACCAGAGACAGAGTGGGGAATAGAACAGGCAGACTGACCGAAGTACACTCCCGAGGGGAGCAGCGGGCGCGACAGGAGAGGTCTGCTGCACCATGTGGGTAGCTCCCTGGCTGACCAGGGATGCTACAGAGGCTACGGATAACTTCAGAGGTTGCGTCTTAACCCCTGTGCCACCAGGGAGGCCCCCCAAGAACAGCACACTTGTATCGTAGTGACGAGACAAAGGGAAAGGGGTTGCCGGGGCAGAGCCGAGCGCGGGAAGGTACATGCGCAGGGACGCGGATGGCGTAAGGTTTGTGCGGGTCCATCTTGGGGCTGTGGAAGGTCCAGGGGAGAGGGGACTTGGGGCACTTCTCACTCTCAGGAGCTCCTACTTGTAAGGGATAGGGGAGACAAGCAAAGGGAGTCCCAGAAAACCTCTTTCTTCATCCATTGATTCTCATCTGCTCCAACTCTGGGGCTCCCCAGGCTGGTTCTTGCTGGAGTCCTCAGTCTGACCTGGTGGGACCCGGCCGTCCCTCTGGCGGGGCTGGGATGAACCAGAGGCCTGTAGGGATGGAGGTGACACAGGGCCCTGCTCTGCTGGGAGACCCCCAAGGGCCTCTCCTGGGGCTGCATCTCAGCAGTGTGATTTTTTTTTTTTTTTTTGACAAGCTGTGTGATTTTAACTAGCATACCTAACCTCTCTGAGACTGGGTTTCTTTATCTGCTAAATGGAGATGGGACTAATGAGAAAAGGGGATGAGATGAGATTAGGGGGCGTGATGCTAATTACTCCAAGCACTTAGAGTGAGAATTCAACCCTTTTTAGCCGAAAAGCATAATCGAAACTCAGGCCCTAGAGGGTGGGGGGTCTTCCTCAGGGTGAGCTAGAGTCTGCCATCTCCTGACTCCCAGGTTGGGGTGCTCCCACTGCACCCTATGGGTCAGCTGGGGCTGAGGTCCCTCTATAATCTCTCCTCTAACCTGGTAGCCACCTCCTGCATAGGGGCCGAGGGCAGAGAGGGCCCTGGGTCTTACAACTGAAATTAAAGTGCTGTTGCAAAAGCCAGCTCCCCCCCCATGCCTTGGAGGTTCCCCTCAAGGGTGTTCCTCTTTCTACACTTGATCTTAGCCAAAAGGCCGAGAAGCGATGGGGGGGTGTTCCTCTTTCTGAACATGCGTGGCTCAGCTGCCAGCAGTGGGCGGGGTGGGGGAGGCTGAGCGCTGCAGGCCTCTGGTGATTCCTTTTCCCTTCAGCTTCCCCTTACTGTCACTGCTGCTGGGCTCTCACTTAACCCTCAGATTCTTCAGAAAGCCAGTGGGGGGCGCTGTTATTATCCCTGCTCTGGAGAGGTGGACATGGCATGCTAGTTACATAACTTGCCCTTTTCCAGCTTCTTTTGGTTTGGTTTGCACTTAGCATCACCTGTATTAGATGATCCCCCTCCGCCTGCTTTAGAAACAGCAGCCTGGTATGATCTGGGGGACCTTGGGTGAGTTCAAGAGCCTCCCTCTGGCCGAGACCGCAGATAGCTCAGCGCCACCCCTGACCTGATCCTCTAGGCCTGGGAATCTGCGTTGCTAACAAGCTCCCACAGGCTGTGGCCCAGGGCCCCTCTCTGAGAACCATTTTCTGGATGTTCTGCATTCTGCTGGATGTTCTCTAGGTTCTGCTCTGGTTCTTGTTTGAAGGGGCAGGGTCTTTCTCATTCCCCAGAAATCCTGGAGGGTTCTTTCAAAGCTGACCAGCGGAGAGACAGAGAGAGACAGAGACAGAGAGAGAGGGAGAGAGGGAGTGTGTGTTGGGGGAGAAGGGTGACCCATGATAAAACACAGGCCGCGGCGGGAGGCGGTCTCTGGGCGGGCAGCGCAGACAGGGCAGAGCTGAGTCCTGTCCAGCCTCTCCTCTCTCCATCTCCACCTTAACTTCGCCCGCCTTCCCAGCAGCAGCCTGTGGGACGGGCTATTCTGGGATATGGCTCACCAGGCGTAGTTCTGGCCCTTAAGCCCCCCTTTTCCCCTGAGTGATACAGAGGAAAACTGCTCTTCCAGATAAGCGCAGAGCAGCTGGGGGTGGGGAGGCGCTGCTAGTCCCGGGGCTGCGGGAGAGGCGAGGCATGAGGCTCTCACAGGCTGTGGGCGGCACCGTCTTTGCAAATTCTCACTTTAGGCTCTAAGCTCAGCTTCTTTCTTTTTTAACTCATGGTAAAACATTTGCCATTTCAACCTTTCTGGGGGTGCCCATTGCGGCCACAGTAGGCACACTCACAACATTCACAGTCTTCCTCAGCCGCCACCTAGGCGTGTCCCAAACTGAACCCCATTCCCTTAGACACTCACTGCCACTCCCCCAGCCCGGCAGCTCCGTCCCACCTCGTATCTGTGAAATCACAGCATGCAGTGTTGGGAGCTGCCTAGTGAACGGGCTGAATGAATGACTGTACGTGAAGGCCCTCTGTCCACGCCTTGGCCACCTCAGACCCACCCCCCTGGCATGTTGGTGAGGAGAGGGAGTCACTCACTCTAAGAGTCACTCCTGGGGTCACTTGGAACCAATCCAAACCCTTTACCCTCTTGTAGGGCAGGAAGACCACAGTGCAGGGTTTCTAGGATCCCATGCAGACCGGGTAAAGGAGGAGTCAGAGTCCTCAGTGGATTTTGGCAGGTCTTTTATTGGGGTTCACCAGGCATATGGCAGGCCTCCCAGCCCCCAGCAAGTCTTCACTCTATCTGGGCCCTCTGGTGTTCTCTCTGCTTCTCTGCTCTTCTGTTCGTTCTGCTGCTTCTTGGCTTCTCTTTTGGCTTCTGCTGCTGCTGGCGCCCCTGTGACTCCGCCCTTAAAAGCCCAGTCTCAGCCCAGGTGAATCCCATCTACCTATGCCCACACCCTACGCCAGGTGCCCGCCATCAGGCATGCATTCAGGACCGCAAGGATCCATCATCCGTCCTGATGGCGGGAGGGCAGAAAAGCCTGACATTTTTCCTCACCCTACACCTCTCTTGACTCCAGGACCCCAAAACTTTAAGCCCAAGTTTTCCCTTTGAATCTGAATTGTCAGTGATGGGGCCAGTGTTTCTGGTGCATTCCTATTAGCTAGAGGCCAGCCTGGATGGTCTTTGAATGGGAACCTGATGGAAAACTTCCTAAGTAAGCAGTGGAGACATGGGGCTGGTCCCCCTTCTGCCCTTATCAGGTTATATGACTTTTCTCCCACCCCTCACATCTCTCCACCTGGCATTAGTTTTCTCATTAATTCCCAATAAAATGCCCTCATCTGTGTGGAGTTGCCACAGAATGCCCCTCGGGGATGTGTGGATAAAGTCTTGGGGGGAGCAGAGGGGCCTGTAAAATGGGGAGATAGGGAGGGCAACTCTTCCAACTTAATACCCCGCCACTGGGTCATATCCACGGTCATGCAAGTCTGCTGTTCTCGTTGGAGCCTATTTTGCTGACCTCTTCTTTAGCTAGCGGACACCCCTCTCAGTGGACTCTCAGTCTCAAGCAAGGAAACCTCTTGATCTTTGAGGTTTTCCCCTTTTCAACGGTGTGGTCATCTGTTGCTACATCCCAGGGAGGGGAGGAGAGAGGTTCTCTGGACCATACAAATTATATCAGAAAGAGACAAACGGAGAGGTTCTCAAAGAAGGGAAGGCAAGGCCTGGGATAGAAACAGCACAAGCTGAGAAAGCTTTTGTGTCTCGGGGACCTTCAGCTTTCCCAATGGAATGGAGAGAACACTGATCATTTCCCGTAAGCTTAGCACTTGAGAGTTTTAAAAACTCTTATTCCCTAATTATTTGCCTAAGGTTAGGATTTGCAAATCCCAGTCACCCAGTGGAGCTCTAGTTACAGTGTGTGATTTGCTTACCAGAAATGGTAAGGCTGGTTTTATTTTGCTTCTTAATGAGCAGGGATGTAGGTGGTGCTAAGGGGTGGGCCTTTAAAGAAGCAGTTCAGGTTACCGTTTGGTGCCTTTCTCTCTTAACACTTAACTGGAACCCACTAACTCCCCTCCCCTTTGACCTGGAGCTTCAGGCAGAACAGTCTGAGGCCACACACCCCCACCCCCCCAACCCCGCACCCAGCCCTTTAGACCCAGCCCTAAAGACCGGGCCCTCCTGAGGCTGGCTCCTGGCTCTGATGAGCTGGGTGGCAGGGCCACCTGGAGTGGAAAGCCCTTGCCAGCCTCTCCTCATTTGTCATTAGCTTCCTCCTTTTCTCACTGGCTCTGACTAATCTTCGGAAAGGCCTGACTTTTCCTTTTCCTCTGCCTTGTTTATCTAGTGTTTGACTAGAACAAGATCCAAAAGAGAAATGACAGCTGAGTAGGGAGCCCTCTAGAAATGTCTGACTGTCCAGGGCCCCGTGGGCAACTTCACTTTTTTTTTTTAAGATTTATTTTATTTATGCATGCAAGAACTGGGGTACAGGCCGGAGGTGTGGGAGATGAGGGCGTTCACCAGAGACAGAGTGGGGAGCACAACAGGCAGAGCTACTGAAATACACTGCTGAGGGGAGCAGCGGGCGAGACAGGAGAGGTCTGCTGTGTCATGTGGGTTGCTCCCTGGCCGGGGATCAAACTCGTGCTGCAGAGGCTGCAAATAGCTTCATAGCGCTGTGCTTAACCCCTTGTGCCACCAAGGAGGCCCACAACTTCACTCTTTCACTTGGCCTGGTCAAGCTGTGTGAACTCCGTGCGTGTGTGTGTGTGTGTGTGTTTAGTACAGTTTTATCTTATTTAAGAAAAACAAAAAGTAACAACAAATTTCCCACCACACCCTTTACACCCACTTCACCCCTTCTTCCACCTCTTCTCCTGTTCTCTTATCCATGTCCACTAGTTTATTTTTATTGTGCTTCGTCAGTTCATCTTTTTGGTTTCCTTCTATCCCCCCAGAGAGGAATCATCATCCAACATTGTCTTTATCTTCCTAGCTCACCTTCACCATGCCCTCAAGATCCTTCCATTTTGCTGAAAATGGCAAAATTTCATCTTTCCTGATGGCTGAATAGTTCCCACGGTGGACAGGCCACGCCTTCTTGGTCCCGTCCCTTATCGGTGGGCGCTTAGGTTGCTTCCAGGTCTTAGCCATTGTAAACGCTGCCCCAGTGGGCTAGCCAGGAGTGTTTCCACATGAGCTTCGCTCTGACCCAGCGCTGGATGGGTGACAGTGCTCCAGCTTATCCTGAAAGTGCCCTATGAAATGACTTTCAGGTCATTCAAAGCAAAATCTCTTAACTTATATTTACACTGGATTTGAAAACCGAAGAGTAAAGTGGTTTATTCCAGTCAGCCATGTGGCCAAGCTCTTCCCTAGGAGAGAACTCAGGTCTAGGATGAGAGTCCCACAGCTTCAAGCAGGGGAAACAGGAGATATTTGGTGGTGTCTGGAGACAGTTTTGCTTATCATATTTGGGGTGGGGTGGGGACTGTGCTACCATATCTAATGGGCAGAGGCCAGGGTTGCTGCTAAACATCTTATGATATAGAGGAAACCCTGCCATGAAGAATTACCCAGCCCAGAACGTCAACAGTACCAAAGTTAAGAAACCTTGCTGAGAGGAATTGAGGAAGTCTCGTTCTCCAGCAGGAGAGCTGGCTTTCCCCCTGGATGCCAGTGCTCGAGCTTTGCCTATGCCCACTTCTGGAGGTGCCCAAGCACATCCACCTGGCAGTGCGGCTCTGGAAATAGAGGCCAAGTTCAGCTCCCAACACTGACCTATGTCTTTTGGGCCAGACAGGCCCAACTTCCCATCTGAGTATCTGTTCCTTCGGCCTCCACTCTGCTTTCTCCTTGCCTTCTAGGTGTTTCTTATAGGGGGGCAGATGTATGGTAAGCCAGGAGTGGCTGGTCATCAAGAAAGAGCCAAAGAACAGAGGGTCTCTAAGTCAGGCCCCTCTGGAGGGCCCGTCCCACCCATCCTGTGAGGCCCAGCGGGCACTGCCTGCCCCCAGGGTGGCGTTTCCTGCCCGAGAAGGCAAGAGGGTGAAGAAAAGGAAAACATTCCATGAAAAGAGATGGGTTCTACCCACCAGCTCCTATTTTTGTGTAGTTGCTCCACTACCAAGGAGAAACAGCACTGCCGAGAGCAGAGGCCCAGCCTCCCGGCAGCAACCCCAGCTGATTGGGAATTTGGGCACCTCACGTTCACATTGCTTGAGGATCTTTCCCTCTGGCGTCTGATTCCAGAGCCCTTGGGGCTTTGGGAAGCCTGGGGTTCTGTGGGTCCTCCCAGGTCAGATCTGGGGTGGGGGTGCTGCCCAGGGCCCCACTCAATGTGTGGAAGTTTACACAATGGCTGGACTTCGTGGTCGGGCTGATTCATCCATTTGGCGTGGACGCCTGCCTCTGGCCCGGCCAGGACAGAAGGGGCCCCCGAGGAACTTCTGGCCCTGTTCCCTCTAGAGGAGACTCACAATGGGGCTGTGATAAGACAGGGCTCGAGGGGGAAGTGGACTTGTGGAAACAGGATATTTTAAATTAGAGAAAGAAGCAGAGGGGCCGTAACTGCCTCTGTGAGAGAGGAGACTGTCCTGGACACAGGACCTGATTGTAGCTGGGGCGGCGAGGTAGCAACCGAGGTGCTTCCGAGGGCCCTCTCCTGTAAAACCCAGCTCTGGGAAGGCAGAACGACCTTCCTGGCATTCCCTCCGCCACTAGCAAGAACAGCGCCACCCACTTCCCACATGTCTTAGGCCTTCCCCAAGCAGCAGGCGAGGCTGCCATGGTCTCTGCCCTCGGTCTGTGTGCACAGTGGGCTGTTGGGGGCTCCTGCCCATTCAGAAGCTCTGCTGTGAGGGGGAACTGGTTCTGTCCAGGGGAAAAAGCTGTAGCCCTCTCTTGACTTTTGTAATGAAATCATCTCCAGCCAGTGCAGGTGGGGACCACTCACCTCAGTGCAGAGTTTCCTGTTCTCATCATTCTTTCTTGTCCCCCGCCATCATCTTCCTGCCATCCTCCTGGGGCCACTTTCACCGCCACAGCCTGGCAGGGCCAGCGAGACCAGGCATGCACTCTGGTGAAAGATGGTGTGTCCTCTGGAACAGTTGAATGAGGCTCCCCAGGGACAGGAGAGGTGTGGCTTTGCCCTGCAGACAGCACTTGGTTGGTCTTGCCAAGAGGTTTGGCAGTGCTTATCCCTCCTCAGTCCATCCCGCTCCTAGGAATGGTCAAACCAGTGTGGAGTCTGTTGAGAGCTTTATTCCCAAAGAGGATACTGGCACATTATCTAAAACAGCAAAAACTTGGAAAGAACCTAAATTTTTAAAAGGAAAAACTGGTTAAGTAAACAGTGATACCATCATTTCATGATTATTATGCAGCCACTAATGATTGTGTTTAAGAAGGTACCAGAAAATGTTTATAAAATTGAGCCATGTGAAAAAGAAAGGATATAAAATGTCAGGTAGTGAATAATTTTGACTTTTTAAAAAATCCGACCCAAAGTAGAAAATAACTGGCAAACATAAGTGTCAACAGGTTTTAAAGATTGGAGCCTGAGACAATTTTTATCTATTACTTTCTACTTTTCTGTAGTTTTCAGTGTTTGCCTAAAATAGCATGGACTAATTTTTTAAAGCTGTTTAAAATTTCAATGAGTTTCCAGATGCTTTATACTCTTGTCATGTGGAGCCAGCTTCCAGGGGAGGCTGTGTGGAGGCTAAGGAACCATAACCTGGGGATGGGGGGAGGGTCTCCTCCTGTACCCCCTGACCCCCTCTTCATCTGCCTGCTCTGCCCTGAGATGCTGGGGGGAGCCCAACATGCTCTTTGCATTGCTCACTTCCACATTATCCTTTGTTTTTCAGATTTCATGGAGAACAGATATTCTGTAAGTACAGAATTCATATACTTTTGTTTAAATAGCCCATCCAACAGTGAACTGTTTCCTGACTCACCCAGGTTCTGCTTTCCCACGAATTTTTCCCCATACCAACCTCGTCTCTTTTAGACCAGGAGCTCCTCTGACCAGCCTAGACTGGTGGGAACTTTGTCATCAGACTAGCTGGGTTTTCTGGACCGCTGTGATCTGGAATATTCTCTCCCACTGTTTCCAGCACTGTATCTCAGCCCACAATGAAGGGAAACCTTGAAGTCTCACACCAAAGGATTGGGGACCAAGGGCACTGAGCTCCAAATGAGCAAAGGATCCGTTTGTTCCTGGTCCCCAGGCTCACACTTGGGAAGGGAGGCAGATTTGAGCCTCTGCTTGGGAGGATGGAGAATCCGACAGCTCATCCAATTCTGAGTGTCCAGGCCAGTCACCCTTACACATGAGGTCCTCTCCTGCAGGAGACACCCAAGGTCCTCAATCCAAAATGGGAATCAGACAAGTTATAGCTGTTTAGACAGGAGATAACAGCTACACCAGAGACTGGGAACACAGACGTGAACTGCTTCCTTCCTCCTGGTTAGCTCGCTCACCAAGGAGGGGTCGTTTGGATGGGCCTTGAATGAGTCAGGTTACAGCAGAGCCCAGGTAGAAGGAATAGCAGAGGTGAAGGTGTCACCACAGTTTCAAGTAGTCCAGAAAAGGCAAAGAGGTAACAGTGACAAGGGGCTGGGGAGATAAGAAGGGCTTACATGTGAAGGACGCGAAGGCCTCAGTTATGAGGTTTTATTCTGCAAAAAATTAGGGAATTTAAGAAGTTTCTGTTGGGCAGATGGGAATGTTTAAAAGAAATCCAGAGTTCCAAGTTGGGGTTTTGCAAAGACCTGTCTCGCCTCTCCTACTCCCCAGCTTTTTAGGAGCTCCCCAGCAGCACAGGAGTTCACTTGGTGTCTGATACCTTAAGGAAGGAGGGATTGGCCTCATGAACTGCTGCTTTAAGGTCTGGAAAGAACTTTTTGCAAGATTGCTGGTAGCCCTTGCAACAGGCCCTCTGGCTTCCTTTGTTTTGCCTAAGCCTGGATTCTTGTAAAACAGAGCTCATTATACTTTTGACGGACAGGAAGTCACTGACAATCTTTTTATGGAGGACTGCTATCATTTAAGGGAAAGAGAAATGAAATGAGTGTCTTTTTCTAGCTTAAATCCAAGCCATCTCCTAAACCAGAGACAGTTGAGTGGCAGGGCAGGGAGCCAGATGTATAGATGAAAAAACCGAGGTCTGAGCGGGTCGAACAGTTTGTCCAGCTGGCTGCTGGCAGCGCCAGAACTAGGACCCAAGTCTCCAGACTCCCTGGGCAGCCCAAAAAATCATGTCACTGCCTTAGCCATCAAGACCTGGAAACAGTAGCAAGTGCCGGCTTTGCTTCCTGCACAGTGTGGAACCCGAAATAAAGAGAAGTTCTGCTTCGAGAAACAAGGCTGTGTCCACCCAGGCAGGTCGCCTGGAGCTACAGGCCTTGTTTACTTTGTCTTCAGGCCAAATGGTCTCACTGGACAAAGGCTCTGAGCTCTAGGAGATGGAGTTTTCCCTTTCCCCTGGCCCCTGTGCCCTGCAGTCTGCTCCCAGGAGCATCCTGGGAGCTCCCCCTATTAGACCTCCCCACAAAAGAATTAAGCTGTTTGGCGGGAGCATGGGGACTCCCGCCCTGTGGGGAAAGGGATTTTGAATCTTTAAGCGGTTGCATTTTGTTTATAAGAGAAGCAGGTATAGTTTCCCTAATAATCAGGTAGTGAGGGTCAGGAGAAAATTAATTGAATTGCCTAGCAGGGAAATGGGAGGGGATTTCCTTCCTGAAATCAAACCTGGCGATCATTCCCTCTTGTTTAATGGCCGTTGCTTCTGAAAACATATTGGAGGAAATATCTTAACAATGAGATAGTCACTTAGCCAAATACTAATTTAGTATTGTTTGACTTGCTTCAATGGCACATTCTGACTTCATTTTTCCTCTGCCATTTTTGCCTTGTTTATCAATCGTGTTTGTGAGCCATGCAGACAGATAACAAGAAAGAGAACACCCTGTCCTTGCAGGGGTGAATCTGGACCTGCATGGGTCTGGGATCTTGGAGAGAAACTTGTCTTCTTACTGAAAAAAGGTGACTCCTCCCCTTCTGGGAGCCAGCGGGCAATGAGGTGCAACGCGAAGTGCCCAGGAGCTGGGACCCCGGCCTGAGTGAAAGTCCAGCTGGCCAGCCTGGTTTGGGTGGTCCTGTCTTCCTCAAGCCTAAGCTCCCCCATCTGCAGGACAAGGGTGGTGACACAGTAGCGTCTTGTAGGATTGCCTGAAGCGTTAAATGAGACACGCGTGTGCCAAGTTCTCTGTCCCCTCCCTGCGGCCACCTAAAAACTAGTTGATGATCTATTTTAAAACTCTTTTCTTCAGACCCTTTGGGAGTATGGATAGGAGATTTTCTTCACTTGGTCCTGAAATACCCAGTCATAGGAGGGGACTCAAGGAGTAACTTACCCAAAGCCCAGGATACAGCCACAGCCAGTCTTTGGCTTGGGAATCAGAGACCCACATTAAAACTTTGCTTCCCCTAATTGCCCATGTGCTAGTTGTGTTACTATGAGCAGATGGCCTAATCCCGCTGAGCCTCAGTTTCCTCATCTGTTAATTGGAGGTCATGAAACCCCCTCCCCTGGTTGTTGCAAGGATGAAATGAGCCCCTAGCATAGACCAGGCCTGTTGGAAGTGTTCTAGGGTGCACTTTCTAGAAGCAGGAAGGAGAAATCCTGGGGGTGAGAAACAGAGTGACCTTTGAGGGCTCACACACCATGTTCTGGCCAGAAAGCGGGGAAGCGGGGGGAAGGGACTTTATGGCTATAACTAGGCTGCTGATGGCTGGTCCCTGATTTAAGCACAGGTCCTGGATATAAGTGTTTTAACCTTTACTTCAAAATCCCCAAAGTCCAGTTGAGAGTGGCCCAGCCCTTCCTGTCTGTGGGGCAGATCCTGCAGCAGCTCCCTGAGCACTGGATTCCTCCCGAGAGAGAGAGGAGGTCTGGGGAGGGACTTGGTCTGGGGCCTGCAAAAGACTGGCCACGAGCCGAGGAAGTGGGGCGAGGGTAGCTGCCAGGGCTGGCAGGCCTCCAGTCCTCTGGGGCCCACACAGTTCTTGGCCCGCCTGCCGGGTCTCTCCTGGCAGGGAGGAGCTGAGCCTGGACCCTCCACCTGGAGCCCCTAGGGCCTGCATCCTGTTCCAAAAGGCAACTCAGATCCAGCAGTGCCAGAACAAGAGAAACTGTCAGCCACCCTTGGGTAGCCAGCCAGTCCAGTGGCCGGCTCCCCAATACCTGGGCCAATCCTCACAGCTTCTCCTGCCCTTGCCTCCCCAAGTTCCACCAGCAGCAGGGCGCCTGGAGCTCACAGAGTGTGCAGGGCAATGGGCTCAGATCCTGTCTGCTCTTTGGCCCCCCTCTGCTCCTGCATTTCCGGTACCCTCCACTCTTTCACCCCTGTGCTCCATCCATTTGTCAAAATCCACTCCACCTTTGAGGCCGGCTCCTGAGTGACTTCTCCGGAGTCTTCCGTGACCCCTCGTTGCCTGGCTAGGGTCCCCTAACCACCTCTAAACAGCTTCCCAGCTTGTGGGGGTCTCTTCCACCTTCTACTTCCGGCACCCTTGTTCGCCAACAACTGATGACTTATAAAATTTTCCGTGGCAGCTCCTGGCATCCTCTGATAGATAACAGTGACCGGGTGAGAGGGAGGTCCAGCCCCTGATGGATGGACACAAACACCTTATGGACAAAATTTTGGACACGACAGCACAGGGGACTGTTTGTTTGTTTGTTTTTATGGTAGTAAAAATAAATACAGCATGAGATTTACTATTTTTACCCTTTTAAAGTGTACAATTCAGTAGCATTAAGTTCAACAGCCATCATCACCATCCAGCCACAGAATCTTTTCATCATTCCAGAGACTCTGCCCCCTAAACTCTACCCCACACTGCCCCCCTCCCCGCCCCCATTCCTGGCACCCACTGTTCTGGTTTCTGCGTCTGAGTTTGACTGCTCTGGGCGCCTGGAACCGCACAGTATGTGTTCCGTTTGTGTCTGGCTCATTTTACTTAGCATAATGTCTTTAAGGTTTAATCTCTTCAAATGTATCAGAATTTCATTCCTTTTGAAGGCAGAATCATAGCATTTTGAAACATGCAATTAGACCATTAGAGTTCAGTTCTTCATTTTATTAATTAAAAAAAAAAAACAGACCTAGAGAAGCTACCTCCCCTATTAGAGGCAGAACTGGAGCAAAAAACCCAGGTCTCTCTTAACTCGATTCCTTTTCCTCTGTGGGTGATCATGGTGCCGAGAGACTCAGTACTGTGTGCCTTATGGGTGCTGGGTGAAGCTGGTTGATGGCCTGATGTGCGTCTTGCACATGGGGCGTTGAGGCTGCAAGCTGTACGGAGCAGGCATTCAGGGAAGGGAGGTGCCAGTGTGGGCAGGAGCTGCCTCCCACCGGGGTGGGGGTACCAGCCCTCACGGGGCTGCAGCTGCAGAGTTTTCTTCTTCAGTCCTGGGGGTGTGACCATCGCTTGTCTCGTCTCTTGTCACCAGAGAACGGAAGGCTCCCTTGATGGAACTTAGGACTTCGAGGACAGAGGCTCGTCCCTGGGAGGACAGGCACGTTCCAAGAGGAGGAGATGATTCCCATATTCCAAGAACTCTGTGCGCTTATTTATGAGCCTGCCCCACTCCCACTGAACATAGTGATTCCTCAGGCCAAGCCACCAGTTCCTAAATCCCTCCTCCCGCACGTGCGGGCTGCAGGAGAAACCAAGGAGCTGGTTCATTTCCCACGTGACCCGCCGTCCACCAAGGCGGAGTGTCCTCAGGAGTGGTGAGTGCCAGAAGGAGGTTCAGGGTCATCAGGCCATTGGGATATTTTGAAACTTGAATGTTTTGTCTTGTACAGAGATCAGGAACTTTTCCAAGTACCCTCATACACAGAAACCTGTTCTTGTTGGGTCTGTCCTTCCAGCGAGGGAACTCCCTCGGGGACTGGTCTCTCTCTCTCTGTCTTTGGCCCTTCAAGGGCCTGTGGTTCACGGCGCTGGTCACGCAGCTGCCCCCCTGTCCCCTCCATGACCTTGACCTCCACAAATGGGAACACAGAGCGGTTTGGGAGCAACATCTTGGAGATGCAACTTGAAGACAAGGCTCATCCGTTCCGGGCAAGGCACCAGACAGAAAATGAAGTGGACAAAGCGCAGATGTTCTTCAGCTGTTTCCTATACCCTTTCTTTCTTTTCCTCTACTCTGCTGCAGGCTGGAAGACAGGAAGATGGTTGCCTACAGCAACTATTTTTAATAGAAAAATCAAATGCTTATTTTTCTTACTAATTTTTTTTTTTATTTATTCCTTGCTAAGGAAGTGGTCTCCTGAGGTCTTATGATGTTTCTGATTGTGTCTTGGGGCGGAGGGGCTGTGGCCATTCTGCTGTGGAATTTCATGAGAGCACCTACCGGAAGCCCCTGGCCCCAGCCGCCTCAGTGACACAGTGTGAGGTGTTGTATTAAATAAATTTGATCTTTACTCTTCACAGACCTGTGAAATGTCATCTTCTGACAGGCTACACACACAGAGGGTATCTGCAGTGTTCGAGGGGCCTCAGGCTCTCTGGAGGCAGAGAGGACCAAGCAATCTCCCCAGCAGGCAATCCCACAGGCCAAGGCCTAGTGGTCTCCTGGACTCAGGCCCCCAGGGAGTCTGAGCTGTAAACACTGAATCTTGAATACCAGGCTGCTCCTTCATGCTGGCTTCCCAACCCCAGACCCCAAGCTTGTCCCTGGTAGAGGTTGTCAGGCTGAGCCAAAGACACCCAAACAAGGACATTCCAGCATGCCCAGTTAAATGTGAATTTTGGATCAACAGCCAGTCATTTGGGGGCATAAGTATGTCTCCTGTAATGTTTGGGACTTATACTAGAAAAGTATTCATGTATCTGACATTCAAATTTAATTGGGCCTCCTCTTTAATCCAACAACAGTGGCAAAGCTCCCTCCTGCAGCCACCCCCAAGGCCTCAGGACCCACCCTCTCCGCAGCCTCCCCAGACCTCTGCCCCGGATCACCACTGGGCGGAGGAGAGCCGAGGGTGTCCTAGCCAGGTTCTAGCTGCAGAAACAATGGAGTTGTTTGACCTCCAAGCCTCAGATTCATGTCTCAAACAGGAGATGAGACTTATGGTTCTGAGCATTTGGAGGATAAAAGCCTCAGGCTCCCACGCACGGCACGCACGAAGTTCTACAGAGAAATGTTAATATGGTTTCCAGTTCTCAGGCCATGGACTCAGGATGGAGGCAAAAGAGTAGATGACCCCTAATGACCTTCGCGTCTGCTGCTCTGTGCATCTTGATCTGGGGAGAGCCCAGAGGTGTCAGCCCAGACCCTTGCTGCTGCTGGAATAAGGTCGCTGCCCAGAGACTGGGAAGACCCTGTCTTATTTGTGGGGCGTAAATGGACTTCTCATTATTTTTGCCGTCTGCCTGTGTTTCTGAGTAGGACAGCAAACACATAGATGTCACTGTAGATGTAATGCTTAAAAATCTCCAAACACTGGATCCTGGCTTCAGCTGTCCTAATTAGCTGTCCTAGCCAAACGTCTGTATCTGAGCTCATTGCTTAACTGGACATCTGGTCACCATCGCCGGGAACGGCCGGGTTCTAGAACTGGCGGCTTAGAGCTCCCTCTGGTGTCCTGACATTGTAACAGGTCACTGGAGGCCTTGAAATGCTCCTTGGCCAACACGCGGTGGAATTTTTTCCCTCTTGGGACAGTTGCCAGAGGCCGGTGGCCTGTGCGAGTGTCCCTTGGCATGAACTCATGAACTGAACTCTTGCTCCTTGACGTGAACCCAAGATGGGCTCAGCGACACCAAGGTCGTTCGTCACGCAAGCAGTGGTTTTCCACCAGGACGGTTTTGCCTCCCCGGCTCCCAGGGCAGTGTCTGGAGACATTTTTTATTGTCATAACTGGGTGGGTGGATTGAAGTCAGGGATGCTGCTAAATACAATGCCCGGGACAGCACCGTGACAAAGACTCTCCGGCCCCAAGATGCCCGTGGGACCAAGGTTGGGAAGCCCTGCGCTGAACCAGCCCAGCGTTCGTTTCTTTCCTCAACAGGTTTGTGTCCATCATTCTGTGTGTTCCCGACACTGCTGGGAACTGGTGGTAGCATGTGGTCCTTGCTCTCCTTGAACATACAGCCCAGAGGAGTCAGGAGCCAGGGACAAGTGGGATAGATGGTGCAATGGAGAAATTCAAAGAAAATGGGGGTGCATGGAAGCTGATCCTAACACAGAGTTTGGGGGGTCAGTGCAAGAGCTCAAGAGGAAGTTGGATCTAACCTAAGACCTGGGGAGAGGTAGAGGGCACCAGGTAGAAAAGGTGGGATGAGGAGCACCACCTCCCAAAACCTTGAGGCAAGAGAGAGGTGTCCCCAAAGAATAGCGGGAAGACGGCCTGTCTTCCCAGGACCCTCCAGCTCTAGGAGTTCGTTCATCTTCAAAAAGTCTCTGTGGTCCCCTGGACTTTCTGCTGGGCTGATTCAAGTGTTTGAGTGTCTTAAGAAGGGTGCTGAATGATGATGTTCAGCAGGGACTCAGCTCCGGTGTGCAGTTTCTTTAAAGACACTCCACCGTGTTGGAGAAAAAGGGCAGGCCCCGCTCTGCTTAGACCACGTGACTCAAGTGAACCGGTGTGGGGGAGAGAGGGAGGGGTGATCTTGAGGGGGGTGATTTGAAGGTAGTCTATACAGCTGGGGCCACGGAGTGAGACCTGGGAGAAGGTTGTTAGCTATGAATCCCCCGAGGGTGTGTGTGTAAAAGCTTGCATGAGTTTGCAGTTTTCTGAGACAGTATCCAGAGCTTTTATCAGTTTCTCAGAGACATGATCCGAAAGGAGGTGAGAAACTATGAAATAGTTAAAAACTCATTTATGTGCCATAGGATTTGATGTCATTGAAAACCCAGAAAGAGCTCTTAACCCATTTCTTAGTAAAAGGTCTTCATGGATGTTTAAGTCCAATATCCCCAGCGGGACTTGGGCTTTGAAAAAAAATTGCTCAGAGTAAAGAAACACATGGCGATTTCAGGGTTAGAGACAGTGCTCACCTCTTCAAAGTAATAAACTCCTAGATTGCTTTCTTACAGCATAGGAGTAAATTTATTGAAAAATTTCATAACCCCAGGTCTTCCTAAAGCCTGGGCCTTCACACAGAGTTCACTGTTCAATGGGAAATGAATGTTTCCTTCAAGATGAACTTGGGCAATCGAAGAGAAAGTTTAGTTTCATTTCACAGAGGATGAAGGATGCTGGGAAGCAAGTGAAGAAATGTGAAAGGCCACTTGGAGTGGGGCTAGGCCACCAGCTGACACCGTGAGCTTGGACGTGTCTCATATACCCTAGGATTCTCCTGCAAATGAGTTGTACTTATTTCTTAGAGCTGCCACAGCAAATCACCATGAACCACGACATTAAACAACAGAAACGCAGTCTCCCCAGTTCTGGAGGCCAGAAGTAAGAAACCTAGAAGGGGTCGATATCATGCTCCCTCCAAGGATCCAGGAAAGGCAACTTCCTTGCCTCTTCTGGCTTCTGCTGGTGGCTGGTAACCCTCAGTGTCCCTGGACGTAGGGCTGTGGCACTGATCCCCGCCTCTGTGCCCCTGTCCCATGGCCTTCTCATAAGGACACCTGTCCCTGGAGGTGGGCCCATCCTGACCCCGCACATCCTCACTTAAACCAATGACAGCTGCAAAGACCCTGTTTCCACACAAGCTCACGCAGAGAGTCCAGGTAGACATGAATTTGGGGTGGGGGGGACAATATTCAACCCAGGACAAAGGGAATGGACAGGAGGAGCTCATGTTCTTGCAGCTCTGATACCCCCTCCCTGCTCGCCTAAATGGAGAGAGGCCAACAGCCGTTTGCCTTCCCAGCAGCGTAGTCCTGGCCGTCTGCGTCGCGTCTGTCTCTGCCTCTGATCTTCTCCCACGTCTTCCCAACCCTCACGTCCCTCCTCCTTTCCCTGCTTCCACTTTCCGTGCCTTTTTCTCTTCTGCCTCATCTTTCCCCTCGTGCTCCCGTCCCCTAATGAGTGTCAGAACACAGACGCATTGTCTCTTCCCAGTTCTTTTGAGAGGCAGTGCAGGGGAGTACTTTCTGTTTTTCTCTTGCTTTAGGGAAAAAAGAAAGACTCCAAAACCTGCAGAGTTGCCTCCTACCTTCATCTGGGCAGGCGTGGATTCTTTCCCCAGGATTTATTGGCTTCCTTAGGAAAATCTCCCGCTTTGCTGCCTGACTTCCTCCCTGTACTGGGATGTGCTCGTTTTCCTGGAACCTCTTGGCATAAGAGCCTCTGGCTTAGAACCAGAAACTACTTCATTAGTTCCTGGTGCAACCGACACCCCCCTCCTCAGGGCTGGGGTGGTTCTAGCCAGAACTTGCTACCCAAGAAACCCCCACCACTGGGCCTTGAAGGGGCCTGGGACTGAGTCCTAGAAAGAGGAAGCAGAATGGGTTCCGGTGCCTTCCAAAGTATGGACAAGCCCTGCGCTGGAATCTGACACCATCTCTAGCAGCCCTGTCCTGTCCTGCCAGGGCCCTTAATTAGAGTGTGTGTCCCTGAGCCCAGCCCAGCTCCGTCTACAGTTTGCTTCTCTGGCCGGTTCGTACAAGAACGAGATGGCCAAAGGAGAAGCTCTTCTGTTTATCTTAAAGCTTTTAACCGGGATCATTTCAATAGGCCCATGAGCACTGCACTTAAAGTCTGATGACTTAGGAATGACCGGAGGATGTAAACATCAGCCCACAGCTGGTCCCCAGCCCGGCCAATGCCATTTGCTGAGCTGCAACTTGTTAGTTCTTTCCAGGCTCTTTTTGGCCCCTACTGCCTCACACAACTCTACAGGCTTAACCTGAGGCCCTGGGTGCCCCTCACCCCAAGGGAAATTGTCCTGGGGAGGAGCAGAAATGTTGCAACAGGCAAAGGAGAGTCCCCAAAACTAGGAGGAGTGAGTCACTCCAGAACCCACTGCCTGCCCTATGCTATCATAGGCTGCTGCTCCCTCAGATGTGTGACCGCAGGGGGTGCCCACTGAGCCAGGACATGGGTCTTGGGGCTAGCAGCCATGCTGAGATCTCCATGCCCCCCAAGTAGCAGGCAACCTGTGGAGTGCCTGGTCTTCATGGGGCCTGGACAGCCAGGAGCTTTAGCAGTGACCACAACCAGAATTCCTCCCTCTTCCCCACATGATACTTCCAGAAGTTCTTGCGGCCCCATGGAGAAAAGAGATTTGCCAATAGAGCCCAGCTTACATTCCTGCAACCAGGCAGAGGGGGCCTTGGGGACAGGTGACATTTCTTGGGTTCACCACGAGGTCGTGTGATGTTTATTGCACTTGGTTAGGTGGGGGTCGAGAAGCCAGGCCTGGAACTGTGAATCTTGCTCTTCAAGGCCGGCGTGCAGCAGGAGTGCAGAGCTGGTGAGTGAGGCCAGCCAGCCACCCAGCCGCTCCTCTTGATGACTGTTTTGGCAAGAAGCACTTTGTAAGCACCTGCTAA